AGTGATGTTGTTCCAGCTGGCCACAGCCAAACAAATCACCATAATTTATATTCAGGAAATATCGAGGCACCCACACAGGAGCCCATATGCTAATACAAGTCGAACAATTTCAAGTATATCAATAAATAGTAATAACTATTAGCCATTGTACAAGAAGTCGATGTCGTGTCTCCATGGCATAGTGGATAATGCCTTGACGTTTGAAGCGATGGATACGAGGTTCCAGTCTCAATGGGAACAACATCACTCACTGTGGTGTAGGTCCATTCAGCTGACGAGTCCCAAATAGGACGAAACACTTGTCTAGGATTCTTCTGCTATCCATGACCAAACAAACTTTTGTCATATTCTCAATATTTAACATGATAGATAATCAGATTAGGGCTGTTTTTTCGAATTCAGACAGTATGATAAAATCTTGACTCCTTCATGAGTTGAAGCAACATTCTGTTTAAGTCTCATAATGGATCTGTTATTCATTTCACAGAACTGTATGTATGTGCTCAATTGTGTATAAATTAATAAAACCTTTTTGACAGTTATACATTGAGTTCCATATCCACAGTTTAATTAATTACTTCCAATTTCAGGTGGTAATTGTTTGAGTTGAGAAAATCTTTAGCCTCAAATGTAGAATCATGGATATATAACTCATTCAAATGACAATTTAGTAAAAATCGCAAGGATTTGTACAAAAGAGAAACATTTCAGTAGTTTTATCTCACTGATCAATTAGTCTAGTATCCTATTGGTAACCTGAAAACTTTCGGTTCAAATCCAACTTCTTAGGAAAGATTCTCATTCTGTCATAATACTCAGTTTGTTATGATAACATCATTGCAATCTCGTCACAAGATACACATTGAACAGTAATTTGATATTATGAATGAATGAAACAGAAAAAAAAAACACTTCAGTAAACACTTATGATGATGTTGAGAGTCAGGAAGAATTTACAGTGACTGATGTAAAGATCTGGTCGACGATTGGAAGTCGTGAGTTAGCTGGTAAAACTCAGAGCTGACAAGTTTGTCGCCAGCAGTCTAACTAAGGCTTTTTATTTCATCTTCAACTTTCATTCAGTATTAATAGCTTAAAAATGTTTGTCCATTCTGTCTGTTCATTAGCATTCAGTTATTTTTCAGTAGGTTTGAAGTGTATGAACGCAATAAAGTATGAACAGAAATATCGAGATATTGTCAAGTAGACAAATTATTTTAAAATGTTGAGTTGACGACTGGCACTGAAATAAATTCGAGTGTTCATGGAATTCTAATTGGAAAACAACTCCCAGTTTCAAGTGGAGCAGTAATAGTCATTCTGAAAGAATTTCCGATCACTGATGTAAAAATGATACTTGACTGGTAATTGAGTTACACACTTCAATTACTGCAGTGCTAAATTGGTGCCTCATGGACTGATGTTTCGAATCCCATCATCATTCAGATTTCCCTTCATCTTTCACAATCATCCTTATATAATCAGATCAATTTTCTGGCTAAAACTACTTCAGATATTCTAGACAGTAATGCTTCAACATACATCATCTGTAAATCTGGTCACATGAGACTGTGGAACATGAGCATACAATAACCTTGGACATCTCTGTTAGAGTTTCGTTAGTATCGCGTTTATACAAGTAAATGGACTTATAACTGGTATTTCCTTTCAGTTAGTATACCATCAAAAGTATTAAGGCTAATCCATTTTACGCAGTGATAAAGATCACAAAAATTTGATCAAACGTAATGAGTTTAGAAAGTCTACGGACTATCTGTCAAATCATCTGACAGTAATCAGTTCACTGGAGTAGAGTTTGCTACACTAACCATAAACTAAACGTCAAGTAGACAGTTTGAAGTACTTCAAGCTATTTGAAACTATACTGCATAAAAATTTCAAATCTATTACATATGTCCCCATCTATCCCTAACAAAACGGCGTTGAGTAAGGATTTATTCGAGTGTGAAGGCAAGTACAATTAGATTGACTCCACTTCAGTTTATTGAATGTAATTGGAAGGGATCTTTGTCATGAAATAAGCTTTGAGCTAGTTGGAGATCATCATAAAGGCTCATCGGAAGCTCCAAGAGATTGTACTGGCAATAGGCGTTTCCACTGACCTATTTAGTCCACCACTAACCTCCTGCAGGATAGGGTTAGATAGACCAGTCTACCACTGAAGTGTAAGCAACTTCATGTTTTCCAGTCCTAAGTATCAACCGAATTCCATCGATCAACATATTATATCGTCACTAAGTTATGTGGCTGACCATCAAGGTACATTTTGATGGATGTTAGTTGGTTGCAGATACACCATGCTGATGAGTGCCGCAGAGCGCAAAACTTATGTAAAGTATGGCTTTCTGCCGACTGCCGCCAACTAACTTACATCTATCAAAGTGCTCCGTGATACTGAACCTCCTGGCTTGGTGGTAACTTTGCAAAATGGTCAGTAAAGAGGAATTAGGTGCATTGATGAACTTGTGAACCAAAATCGAATGGATTAATGGAACACACACTTTGCATGTCTGACTAACATATAACCCGTTGTGAGATATTAGTGAGAAACACAATTAAAAGCCTTTGAATTTACACACGATATCAGTCTATGAGTTTGAGACGTGAATGGAAGTACCAACTACTTGGCTAGGATTATTTAGAAATTACAAGTCAATGAATTAATCATGACCCCCAAATAACATGGTTGGAAATAAACTATAATGTCACACATATACTCGCATAATTTCCTACTGCAGATTTTCAACCTTTTTCTTGGCTTACTACTCACCTTTTAGATAAACCTTCACTTATGAGAGTGATGAATAACTCAAAATCGTTCATGTTAGTGTCGCTGGCTGTTTATAAGACCAGTAGAAGGGATCTCAATGCCAAGAAACCGTTTTTTTCGCTTCTTGAAAGACAGAATAACAGACATTATTAAACTGACTGAATAAAACCTCAAAGCTCAGTTGGTAGAGAATCGGATAGGAAACCCTATTGTCACCGGTTCGATTTCGGCCATGGTTCAAATTTTCATTTCACCTCCAATCATCACTCAGTATAAATGCTAGTCTGCCAAACCGCGGCTATCTCAGAAAGTCAAAATGGTGAAATCTAAATGATAAACTGTTCATGCAGTTGGAGCTCTGACTAGGTATCTGCATGCACTGCTGATACATTTGGTGAAAACAAATTTCTGAATCATTCACAGTTTGAAAAGAGAGTATGACTTAAAAACCTGAGGTGTTATTCTGCTATTTCACTGAATAAACATATATTGTCAACAGTTCTACCTTCATAAAGATAGTGAGATAGTTTCGCGACTACTATTTATTTTTCCATTGGGTTCCTAGTGGAACATTGGGCTTCAATAGCACGTCCTCATTGCACTTTCTTCTCTGCAGTCTTCACAACCTGGCGCCACTGCCCACAAGCTTTCATTACTTCCTCATATGATCTCCTCCATGTTACACTCGCCTCGGACGCCCAATTCGTCGTTTTCCCTTCAGATTACACTTTAGGGCCTGGTGTATGGTGTTTCCGAATGACTTTCTTAGTGTATGCCCAATCCCTCTCCACTTTATTCCTCTGCATATTTGTTGGGTAATAGGTTCTTGGTTGGTTCGTTCCCAGAGTTCCTTGTCGCTTATTCTTTCTGGCTATCTAATCTAATCTTCAGTATCGAGCGAGCGTAGGCAGCTGTTAATGAATGTCTGTAGTTTGCTGGAAGTGCTTTTCGTGACGCGTCACGTTTCTGAACCATATAGCAGCACTGACTTGACTGATACTGGTGTTGAAAATTCAGATCTTGTTCTTTGTGCTGAGTACAGTAGATCTCTACACTGATTTTAGAATTACGAAAGCCTGTCTTACTTTTCCGATCCTGGTTTCGACATCTTCGTTTGTCCCGCCTGTAGTTGAAACGATGCTGCCTAGATAAGTGAAAGAGACTACCTCCATTACGTTTCTCCCGTTCATGATGATTAGTGCTTGTTTATGCTGTTGCTGGTTGGGCATCTTCATTACCTCTGTCTTCTCTACGTTCACCTGAATGAAGTATCGTCTTCACTGCCGTGCCCCTTCTGTTAACTTGTTATTTTCTCCTGTGGATCTTCGAGTTTGTGCTATATTAGACATAAATCACCATCGTTGACGAAATCCAAATATTCATCTGGGGTCTTTTCATCGGTCGAACAGTATAGGCCCATCTTCTCCCTCCTTATGGTTTGCTGCATGATCCAGTCCAGTTCACCACAATTTGGAAGATCATGGGGGATAGTAGGTGGCAACCTTGTCTTACTTCTGTCTTCACTTCAAAAGCGTCACCGAGCTTTCCGCTGGGGATCACTTGGCATATGGCGTCGTCACATAGTTGTTGAATGAGATTGATAAAGGTTTGTGGTATTCCGTAGTGTTGAAGCAAACGCCTGCAAATTACTTGTCGGTCGCCGCTGTCGAAGACCTTTTCAAAGTCGATAAAGTTGAAGTAGAGAGTTGACCGCCATTCTGTACTCTGTTCTATGATCATGAGTAGTGTTGCAATTTGATGCGCACATGATTTGTTCTTTCTGAATACAGTCTGTTCTGGTCGTAATTTTGAATCCAGCGCATCATTTAGACTCTCCAGGATGATGCGGCCTAATATTTTGCTTGGGGTGGACAGCAGCATGATTCCTCTCCATTCTTTGGGAGTTTGACCAGATCCGTCAAAAGACGAAAAACCTTACCACATAATAAGGAATGAAATGATGTTAACTATACACCAAAGAAATAGCTGAGGAGATACCCTAATTTTATAAACTATCTGTGTATATTTTTTAAAAGATGGGGATATACTGAATAACTAATGGATTACTGGAGAGATGGTGGTTGCCAAAAGTGCCGAGTGAAGTAAAATTTATTTCCAAACTGTTATGATTTAACTCTGGAATATCTTATAAACTTAAAAGAAGATATTTTTTTAATAGTAGCCAATTTTTTCTGTGTTTTATTTTCAGAGGAATCTGCTTTGGCAGAAGAAGCTTGGCGACCAGTACTGAACTGCAACTGTCCAAGATTGTATGTGTGGAGGGTTGAGGTAAGTGGTGATAATTTTTTGAGACAGATTTTAAGAAGAATGCGATTTAAATATATTTATAATTTACTGCAAGTTGTTATTCATCGTAGACTGACATCAGTTGGAAGAACAAAGGAAACCTGGGAGCACTGGACAGCTATTTCGTCCTAGTGTGGGACTCCTCAGCAGTGCGCACCCACGACCCACCTCCAACTGATGTCAGTCTACGATGAATAACAACTTGAAATAATTCCAAATCTCCACAACTCCCTCAAAATTTAATTGAACTGGTGCTCATTGGTGACTAGCTTCGAGAAGTATTCCCGAAGTTCCAATGGGAAGTCGTGACCGGTGGAGTCAAAAGCCTGATGGCCATAGGGACAGATACTCAGCGATGACATTGGGTGACGGTTGCGCTATATATCGTGAGCTAACAGAAGTTGGAAATATGGAGCATTGGATCTCGACCCAGTGGCTCAGTGGTAACGCGCTGGCCGCGGAACCTGGAGGTCGTAGGTTCGATCCCTGCTGGTGGAGTCGTGGGTGCGCACTGCTGAGGAGTCCCATACTAGGACGAAACAGCTGTCCAGCGCTCCCAGGTTTCCCTTGTTCCTCCAACTGATGTCAGTCTACGATGAATAACAACTTGAAATAATTCCAAATCTGCACAACTCCCTCAAAATATAATTCATTGGCTTTCAAACAAATTGAACTTTAAAAACTTTGCTTATATTCATTTTAATGAGCCGTAGTGGAATTCAAGATGCATTTTGGTCTGTTTAAGACTCGTCAGCTGGACGTACTTTCACCCCCAGTGATTGATGTTGTTCTGAATTAAACTCCAACTCACAAACGATCACTTCAAAAGCCACTGGGACAAACTCTGGAGCTATTAAATTAGGTCAGGATTCCAAAGTCACCTGAAGCTACTTCTCTGGCATCAATACTATGTTAGAATAAACCATCATGTAATAACTGTGGTTCATAGAGTCATACATGGTTTTTATGTGGCCACTGATTCTACTTGATCCTTTGATAACAATATTTATGATTGCCAAAAGTACAGACGTATGCAAGTGCGAGAAATGGTGGATAACACTAATAACTGAAAGAAAACAATCAGTTAAATGTTTATATGTGTCTTCAAAAACTCCTTCTTCTTCATTAGACTCAAAGGGATACATTCTTCGAAGACACAACCATTCCATTATTGCTTATCTGTATATCTCAATAGTTAGTGATTAATTACATAGTAATTCCCATGGGACAAATGATCATTGAATGAATGGTAAATCCCATAGTAAGCAGTTATCGTACCTTTATGACGTCCAGCTCTATATAAAGTGATGGTAATGATGAGTTTCGAACCAAAAGAAGATAGCTGCTGAACACTTCCTCGTATTTAGTCTTTTTATACTTAACTTTGATGCATTATAACAAATATCTGAAGGAGTTATTCGTTTACCCTTTTAATCAGCATCATTTATCTATGTTTCAACAACCATTTCGTCAAAAATATAGACATCAAGTTGTTTTCTAAACGTTATTCAGTAGGAACTACTGAGTTCCAGTGTCAGTGAGAACAACATCACTCACTGGGGTGCAGATACACTCACCTGACGAGTCCTAAGCAAGACGAAACATGGGTCATTCATTCGAGTGCTAGCAACCGAGTAAATTAAAAAAATTCTAAGTGCTTACAACTATCACTGATTATTATAGTGTATAAATTGATACCACAGGTGGACTTGTATAGAAAGGAAGGTGATAATTTGTCAATGTGTTGTTGAATTGACTTATGAAAACTACGGTGATGATTCACATCATTTTATTTGCATATATATATATAACCACGCTTTGCTTAGATAGTAGCAGCATTCCTGTTCTTACCAACTGATACTGTCTCCTAGTTCGACTACATCTCTGCTCACACTTCAAGCACTGATCAACCAGTAATGATGGGAAGAAAATATTTCAATCAGTCAGCTGACAGTGAGTAATACAATGAAGAAGCTTATAAAAGTTTATCAAACAAGTAATACAATGTAATCATTAGGCTGAGTAATAGAAAATCTATTTTGTTAGACCTTATATGTCGGTTAATGGGAAATTTTGAATCTTCGTTTAATATTTCTTGACTATTAGGGGTAATATGGGTCTGAAATGCTGAGATTTCAGTTCTGTTGAAGATTTTAGCAGTAAAAGACCACTTTTAGCACTTTAGTATCAACGCTAAGAAGTTTCATTTTCGCGATTAAGCGATACTTAAGTTCTGCTGATGCCTGAAATGTGCTGCATGGGGCATTCGAAATCTGTTCACATTATTACTATTGCGCATACTGAAGAAAAAATCTGAGGATCTGTTTTCTTTTGCATAGTGCAAACCTCAGCATATTTGGTACTGATACTGGGTGATGATTGAAAATAAAATGAAAATCTGGGCCACCACGGGATTCGAACTAGCGACCTCCGGTTTTACCGACCTAGGAGCTCTACTAACTGAGCTACGGGACTTGCCAGCTGTTAATCATATCTTAATTTCATCTCTGTTTTTTTTTTGCTCTTCTTCCTTTCAGAAATTTAAAGTGAGACCAGTCAATGAAAATGATTATGGTAACTTCTTCAATGGTGACTCTTACATTGTGCTCAATGTGTATACAAAAGGTAAAAGTTTAGGCTATGATGTACACTTTTGGGTTGGATCGAAAAGTACTCAGGTAATTACATTTTCGTATAGATACAACACTTATTACTTATATATTCAACTTAGTACTTATATTGCATTCAGTTGATTAGTTTAGAGTCTCTCTCTCTCTCTCTTTTCTGATTATAGCAGAAAACACCTCCATCTTTAATCGTATTCTACTAATGGAAATCATTATAAATGATGACGTGAATATCGTGAAATAAAGTATATAACTGACAAAGTATAAGCAAAACTTGTTGACCAATCTTACCAATAAAAAGTTAAGCTTCTTTTCTAAGTAGGCAAATAGTTCTTATAATTTAGAACATGGTATAATCTATTGTGCCAAATATGTTACACTACTAGTCTTCATCTGAATGAATAATTTGAAAAATAATACACTTCTTGACAATAAGAAGCTTTATGTATGCTAACCATTTACCTTAAGAGTATCCACAGCCCTAATGGATAGCTCTCGTGGACTCGTCAGTGTAGGCATAGCACTGAGTTGTAGAGTAAAAAGTGTTTCCCCAATTGGTTCCCAGTAAACAGTCGTTTATATGCAATCCGACTGAATGGATCTGTTAAGATTACAAAGGATCGTTAGACCAACTGATGTCTGTTCATAATCTCCACCTACGCACTCACTGATCCCCCGTAAGATGATGCAAAGGATGAAATCTATGAAAACCTAGGGAAAGTAAAATGTTCAGATGTATTCCTAATGATAGATGACTTTAACGCTCAAATAAGAAAGTTGAGCATTTTGAAGGTGTCTGCGAAAACCCATGCCAACAAACCGACAAAGGTGATTGTCTGTTGCAATTCTGTTCGGACAATCACTTGTTTCTGGCTAGCACTAACTGTGAACATAGAGGGAAACACTCTCACATGCCTTCCACTGACATCAGTCCAACGATGGACACACATAGATCATATCGTTATAAGACATCAGTGGTGACCTCTTTGTAGTACTAGGTTGGACTCCGATCACACGCTTGTACGGACTGGTGATGTCTACATCTTACTTGTAGCAGGAAATAAACCTGTCTGTTCTCGATAAAGAAGATGCGAAGTACGCATTTAGGGAGAAGTTAGCCAAGTATTTGTCTGGACGTGACAGCAGTACTCATAATCACTACTGTGAATTTCACTAGCTCAGTGTGTTGACAAAACCCAATGATGACATTGTACTAGAAATACTAGTTAGACTTAAAGCTTCAAGACCAAATTATCAATGATTACAGGTGAGGCATGTATAGCTACTAATCAGGAGTGTCTGGTACTCAGCAAATTTCATTGTGAAAGTTGGAAAAAACTGATTGCAAAATACAGTATATGACGGAGTAGAACAACATCTTTGAAAAGACGTCATTCACACCAAACGTTGCGAATTTCCAACAAGCTTTAAAATTTTTCTGGTTGATCTACACAACTTTACTGATCAATCTGAACTCCAAGATCCTTAATCTATGGCAGAAGTTTATTAAAGTCAATGTTAATTAAACGTTCGTTTCATGAACCTGGCGATCAATTTTTTCGTGCCTATCACTGCGTATCTCGTTTTTCTTGATTACTTTGATGAAGTAATGAAATAACTCACGATTATTAATCGGTATTTGGTGAAGAAATACTGATGAATATAACTGATTGTTTGAAATGTATGAAGTCATTCATTGGGCTATGAACATAGTTCTCCACTTTGCTTCAGCGGAATGACAACCCAAATTTGTTATTTTGATGTTACAGTATGTAAATCTCCGTGGATGATTGAACCGAATCGATCAGGCACTTTTGACAAGTGAACTGTTGTGCAGATGTTTTGTTGTTGCCTTTAATTATAGCTCTCGAAACTAATGATGAGTAGTAATTGGCAGTGGAATCTTGGTGGGAACAACATCACTCATTAGGAGGTAGGTACGTCCAGCTGACGAATTTCAGATTGGAAGAAACCTGCGTCGTAGATTTCACTGCTAGTCACTAGTCATCATCAATACTTTGGGTTTTACTCAATATTATAAGTGATAGGTTACTGACTTCGAGGAATAAACAGTCCTTTATACATCATGCAAAACAGTTGATTTAAGTAAGCACTCTCGGTTGACAAAAATTCAGTCAAAAAAAGGTCACTGGATAGCCTATAACTTCAAGTCTTCAAGTGAAAGATTTGAACTGTGAGACTGCTCTTTCAATGAAACGTTGATTGGTGTTTTTAAATACAACAGTAATGATTTCCTAATTTCATATATGATGTAAAGTTTTACTTAATTCCCTTGACTCCTTCAACCAACATGCCGAAAACATTTGATATCGAACAATAAACAGCCTACTCGGTGGCTAGCAGCGTTTCCTCTTGTTTGAGACTCATAACCATGAGTATACATCACTTCAGAGATCAAAACGTCATCCATTAAGCCACCACATTCAGTGATCCACCTATTAAGAAATAATCCTTAGGTTTTGGAAGCTGTATCCCTAAGTGTCTCAGTCAAAACTTAATCAATGCTTTGCCTATTTCTTTAGAAACAAACCTTGAACACTGAGATAAGAAAGTTCTTAATTCAGTTACTGAAGAATATAAAGATGATTAGTGTAAGGAAGTGAGAATTCAACATAACATAGTTCTTTTGAGCCCCTAGCTGGTTACCGGCATCTCAAATGGCAAAAACCTTTAAGTTATCATGTGCAGACATCAATCTGAGAAACACTAGAAACCTAAGAGAACTGGATAGATGTTTCGTCTTAGTATGGGACGCCTCAGCAGTGTTCACCCATGACACCTTGAACCACTCGATCCAACTAATGTCATATCATGATAGATATCAACCTGAAATCAATAAATATACCTCTAGAATCCTCAAAATTGAACCGAATCACAGAAAATATCAGCCTGAAATATAAGCTAATCAGTTGTAGACTTTTATTCCTTCTTAAAGATTAGTTTTTTTCGTATTAAATAATGACTTTCATGTAAACAATTTATAATAGGACTTTAATACTGGTTATAGATGTTTAGTTTTTTATATTTACACACTGAAAATTGTGTTCTTATTCACTGATAAACAACTGTATACATTTGAACAGGATGAATATGGAACAGCTGCCTATAAAACAGTAGAATTGGACGCCTTACTCGATGATCAAGCTGTTCAACACCGTGAAGTTGAACTTTATGAGTCAAAATTGTTTAAATCATACTTTTCATCATTTCGGTAAGTTCTGAGTTTTGTGTTTTACTGAAAAAGGTTAAGATTTGCTTGAAAATGTAAAGTGATAACACTAAGCAACAGAAATTAGGTAATTATTATTTAACTTAAAAACTGACAATCTATCCATTCCAAGTAGCAAAACTACTCATCATCATACAACAGAGCATAGAACAACAGTCAACACATTACTTAAACTTCGTCGATTTTGAAAAGTCCTTTGACAGCATCGACTGAGAAGTAACTGGCCAACTACTTCCATACTACAGCTTTATGCCACAAACCTTTATAAACATCATTCTATAGCTTATATGAAAACGCCACATGCCAAGTGATCCACAATGGAAAGATAAGTGATGCTTTTGAAGTGAAGACAGGGGTATGACAAGGTTGACACCTACTATCATCGACGATCTTCATGTTTGTGGTTGACTCGATTGGACTGGATCATGCAACAAACTATGAGGAGCGAGAAGATAGGCATACACTGTTTGACCGATGAAAAGAGCTTAGAAGATTTGGACTTCACCGATAATGATTTATGTTCAGTGTCTTACGTCGCACAAACTCAAAGGTCTATAGGCAAAAACTGACAAATTGGAAGAAGAAGAAGCAAGATAGTGAAGACGGGATTTCCTTCAAATGAACGTGGAGACGACAGAGGTGATGAAGATACCCAGTTGACAACAACAAGCACCAATCAACATCAGTGGGAGAAATCTAAACGAAGTTGTCTCCTTCACCCAAACTACCTACACACCCACCTGCACATCCAGGCAACAACATTTCAACTACACAGAACACAGGCACACAGGAGGACATCAAACACACGATCAGAACAACAGCAAGACAGGCATTCCTGCATTAGTCTGAAATCAGTGCAGAGATCTACTGCATTGCACTCAGCATACAATGTCAACAACATTCACATTCTCAACACACACACACACACACACACAATCTTCAGTCAAGTGAGTCAGTGCTTCAATGTGATGGTTCAGAGACTTGGTGCGTCACGAAAAGCATTTCCAACAAACTGCACACATACATCATCAACACCTGCTGTCTACGCTTGCTCACTCGATACTGAAGATCAGATCACGAGATCACATCAGATGAGATCAGATCAAATCAGATGGTCAGAATAATAAGAATAAGTAAGGAGGAAGTTTGGCTGGCTGGCTGGCTGGCTGGCTGGCTGGCTGGCTGGCTGGCTGGCTGGCTGGCTGGCTGGCTGGCTGGCTGGCTGGCTGGCTGGCTGGCTGGCTGGCTGGCTGGCTGGCTGGCTGGCTGGCTGGCTGGCTGGCTGGCTGGCTGGCTGGCTGGCTGGCTGGCTGGCTGGCTGGCTGGCTGGCTGGCTGGCTGGCTGGCTGGCTGGCTGGCTGGCTGGCTGGCTGGCTGGCTGGCTGGCTGGCTGGCTGGCTGGCTGGCTGGCTGGCTGGCTGGCTGGCTGGCTGGCTGGCTGGCTGGCTGGCTGGCTGGCTGGCTGGCTGGCTGGCTGGCTGGCTGGCTGGCTGGCTGGCTGGCTGGCTGGCTGGCTGGCTGGCTGGCTGGCTGGCTGGCTGGCTGGCTGGCTGGCTGGCTGGCTGGCTGGCTGGCTGGCTGGCTGGCTGGCTGGCTGGCTGGCTGGCTGGCTGGCTGGCTGGCTGGCTGGCTGGCTGGCTGGCTGGCTGGCTGGCTGGCTGGCTGGCAACGAATCAACCGACCAAGAATCCATCTCCCAAATATATATGTAGAAGAAAGTAGAGATGAGATGAGATGGATTGGATTGGATTGGAGATAGACTGAGAAGTCTGTATGGGGACATCATATGTCAGGTCAGGTCATGGAGAGGAAGGTGAATGGGAATCGGTGAGTTTGGTGTTTGAGGGTGACATGGAGGAGATGGTGTTAGGAAGAGATGAATGTTTGTGGTGATTGATGGATCCAGGTGAATAAGACTGTAGAGAAGTGAGTGAAATGGTGACATGCTACGGAAGTCGTATATTCCACTAGGAACACAACGGACAAATATATAAGTAAATAAAAATACGATTCATGTTAATGAAGCCTAATCGGTCGCTTGCACCTGAATTCAAAAGTGTAATTCCGAAGTCTTCTATGAACAAGCATAAATGCTGGAACTAGTCTATAGAAAATCAAATCAACGTTGAGAAATGCTTACAAATAGGGTGTACACCAACTGAGGCTGACTAACTAACATCTTACAATTCAACAGTAGGAGAATGCAAACTTTAATAGTACTTACAGAATGTGAAACAAAGATAGGTCTGTTTTTGATGTCAAACGAAACATTTCTGTACATTGACTGGTCACCGGAGCTGTAACTAACCTCATATTGTCTAGTCCTATGTGCCGATCGAATGCTATCCATTATTTTGCATTATGAACATCAAGCTAGACGACTCATCATTGAGATGCACTGTGACGTATGTTAGTTGATTACAGGAGATCCACAGTATGCCCTGGACCTAGGTTTCGTGCTTGCTGGCACTCGTCAGTGAGATGTGCCTGCAACTCCAAGAGGACTGACGTCTCCTGTGGGATTCAAACCCATTTCACCCAGTTCTGTAGTCAGAGATGTTAGCACTGATCTGTCTGGGACACCACTGCCCTCCTGTAGGACTGGGTTACATACATTGGTTGTTCACCGGAGGGTAACCAATCTCATGTTGTCTAGTCCTATGCGCTGGTCGAATTCTACCGATCATTTTTCAATGTGCTCACCAGACTGGGCAGCTTTACATCGCGGTGCACTTTGATAGATGCCACTTGGATGAAGGCAATCTAATGGAAGCCCTGGACCCAGCTTTCGTGTTGTTGGTACTCCTCAGCAAGGCGTATCTGCAATTTTGAGGGAAACGAGGTCCCACCTAAGATTCGAACACGATGGTCAGGAATACTTTAGCCACCTCTTCCCTGTACACACACATACGAATAATCGTCAATCGCTCAAATGTAAGACGCATACAAATACACGAATTTGTTTCCATCTGTCTAAGGATAAAGTCATTCAAAGTATCTCCAATTCAATGACTATTGATTGGCTGAAATAACCTATATGTAGTGATTCCAGAAAATAAAATTAGATATATAGTCATGGTTCAGTGTATTAGTGGTGTCGCTATGCGATATAATCGATTTCATACGCTTCTCAGTTAAGGTATTGACCCTTACACTCATTCACGCAGCTTAATATCCCTTATTCAGTCCATGGTGTGGATCCAATTCGTTTTCCCAAAAATATCATTCTTCACGACAGAAAATTATCTAAGCAAGAAGATAAACAATATATTCAACAACAGCTTTAGTTAACTAGTAGTTGAAATAACTCCAGTGGAGTAATAGGAGATAGCTGTTCAAATTCTAGAAGGGAAGCTGATTCTGGTAACATCATAGAATTATTGTTGAAATAAATAAAACTCAAGCCCGCGTTATGCTCAGTATCTTGTTCCGATGACCACTGTCAAAATCCAGAGGATTGTCGTAAATCTCACCACAAATTAAAACCTTTGTACAGTAATAATGAGCTAGTGAATATGTGTGGACGATGGTACAACAGGCTGTTATGAAGAAACTCGACTCCAGTATATAGCACCGTTTCACTATACAACTGAACTAGATTTCAAGCTGGCACTGATCAAGGAATGACATCACTTGGGGGAACCATTGTAATCCTATGGGGTATTGGACAGCCTTTTCGTTTTAATATGAATTTAGGCATAAATGGTCCATTTTTAGGGATGTAACATGCCCAATAGGAAAATGATACGTTATAACAATCAAGAAGAGAGAATATTCTCCCACGGTCATCCAAATATATTCATCTGTATAGTGTTTAGACAGTCGGCTAGGAGTTTTTAGGAATCAGGTTCACTGTTTCTAGGAGACCTGTCACTTATACAACTTGCCGTTCGAATAACCACCTGCATTTCCTAATCAGAAGTGTAAGCTGTTGTGATATGCTCTCCTAATTTACTCAAACCTAGGTAACTATGGACAAATTCAACTAACTTCGATGAATGTTAGTTGGATGAAGGAAATCGGCCGGATGCCCTCCACCTAGGTTTCGTACTTCTTGGCACTGAACTACCCTCACTTTCTGGCCAAACCCCCACCCTTATATCGTACTCAGCTGAAGAGTCTTAAATGAGGCGAAAAGCTCGTCGTGCATCCACTACTAACCATTACTAGAACAAGTCTATGTCCTAATGAGTTCTGCAGAACATATCGGATTATAACGTGACTGACTGGATAATTACTGACTCATTCTGTCTAAGACATTTCTAAGTTTAAGGGTTGAGATGAGAATCGAATAATTTGATTCACCTATAAAAGAGAGAAACCACAAATCACTGATGTCTTAAAACGAGTCAAAGAGAGCAACAATAATCTATTCCTTAGTTACATTTAGTGAATATTGAACTGAATTTCACGAATACGGTGGTGTGTTCAAATTCATCGAGATATATTTTTTAAATCGAGTCTAAAAACAGTTGCGACATATATAACTAACTTTTCAGATATGTTGATAAGAAAAAGTGCTATTTCGTTGTTCATTTCCACTCTCTACTACCTATGGAATAGTGATAAGCTTATCAACACTTCTGGAAACTGTTTGCCATAGTTTATTTAGAATTTACGTTTTATTTAGTCTTCTGAGCTGCATGGTTAATTCGAGAAGTTTTCATTGTGGGATTTTCACCACAAGTGGCTTAACATCTTGTTCTGATGACCTTGTGTGTGATTGGTTGCTTATCATTGTCTCTTCAACTGTGTTGATTGGTTATCCTGTTGACGTTCAGGTCAATGACAAAATTTTAGCAGAAGCAACCAATCAGGCACAAGGTTACCGGGAAAATCTAATTAAGCAACTTGCAGAGAAAATCCCATAGGGTATTTGTTTTTGACTTTTATGTTGCTAATGTCGTTGTCTAGAATGAAGATGAAAGTTTCACGATTAAAGCATCCAGCTTAGTGAACACAACACCATCAAAATTATCTTCCTGAGGTACAAATATTCTTCCCTTATTGCATTAAAGAAATTTATACAAGCTCAATGTCTTTTTACTAAAACCTGTAAACATGTGGAACTAATTACTTGTGAACTTCCTGTCAGACTAGATTTCTTTTTCTTCTTTTTTTAGTATACTCAACGGTGGGATTGATTCTGGTTTCACTCGTGTAACACCAAATGAATATCAGCCAAGATTGTTGCATTTTCATCAAGAAGGAAGGAATAAACACTGTGAAATTCAAGAAGTTGAACTATCAATCAACTCTTTAGACCCAACAGATGTGTTTATCTTGGATCTTGGCACTAAACTTTACCAGTGGAATGGTTCAAAAAGTAATAAAGAGGAACGTTACAATGTAAGTGTTTATGTCTTAGAATCATTAATTTTTTCAAAAAGTATTCTTTATTGTTCTACGCTTCTTTGTATTTGAATTTCACGCCTAAATACTTCACCTCTCTCTTCATTCCTTATTGACTTACCTAACTGATCAGTAAGATCAACAGTCACCAAGGGATACAGAAATGATTTAAAGTTTGATAATGAAATGTAAAAATGGTAAGGACTATGAACTTTTACATTTCTTAGCAAGCCAAAAAAGCATCTAGCAGTTGATGGTTATAAAGATTGGAACAAGTTATTTATGTCCTTCTTAGAGTGTTGTAAAAGTAAATCTCTCACATTTTCAAATTGGATACTGCCTACTGCCTTGAGGAACTTAAAAGTAACTGGTGAGCGTAGCTCCATAATCCTGTTTATGAGGAGTTTACACGTCAAGAATACTAGCTATTTTACGGCGACGAACATATAGACTGGCTAATCTGTGTTTAGAGTTAGGTTTTGGATAAATTATTATTATTATTTTACTTTTACGATGGGTTGCTAGTGGAATATACGACTTCCGTAGCATGTCACCATTTCACTCACTTCTCTACAGTCTTATTCACCTGGATCCATCAATCACCACAAATATTCATCTCTTCCTAACACCATCTCCTCCATGTCACCCTCAAACACCAAACTCACCGATTCCCATTCACCTTCCTCTCCATGACCTGACCTGACATATGATGTCCCCAAACAGACTTCTCAGTCTATCTCCAATCCATCTCATCTCATCTCCACTTTCTTCTGCACATATATTTGGGAGATGGATTCTTGGTCGGTTGATTCGTTGCCAGCCAGCCAGCCAGCCAAAATTCCTCCTTACTTATTCTTATTATTCTCGCCATCTGGCTTGATCTGATCTCATCTGATGTGATCTCGCGATCTGATCTTCAGTATCGAATGAGCAAGCGTAGACAGCAGGTGTTGATGATGTATGTGTGCAGTTTGTTGGAAATGCTTTTCGTGACGCACCAAGTCTCTGAACCATCACATTGAAGCACTGACTCACTTGACTGAAGATTGTGTGTGTGTGTGTGTGTGTGTTGAGAATGTGAATGTTGTTGACATTGTATGCTGAGTGCAATGCAGTAGATCTCTGCACTGATTTCAGACTAATGCAGGAATGCCTGTCTTGCTGTTGTTCTGATCGTGTGTTTGATGTCCTCCTGTGTGCCTGTGTTCTGTGTAGTTGAAATGTTGTTGCCTGGATGTGTACGTAGGTGTGTAGGTAGGTGTGTAGGTAGTTTGGGTGAAGGAGACAACTTCGTTTAGATTTCTCCCACTGATGTTGATTGGTGCTTGTTGTTGTTGGTTGGGTGGATAGAGCTGAGGCTGTGTTTGAATAACAGACGTGCTTCTGAAGATATATCTCCTGTCGTCATTCGTTAAGTTTTTGACTTCAACTTTGACGTGAGTCTACCACATGAGTTATAAAGATATTTACAAGTTAGTGTTAATGAAACGATGTGAAATAGTTGTGATTTGGTAGACTAATTTCATTGATATGATAAGATTATTGAACCACAGTCAACCTTCTGCATTCCGAATGAATTTTGACTGGAATGAGAAGTTCTAGTTTGACCTTTTGTATGATTTTGACGAATGGACAGTGATCCATCACTCATTCAATGAAAACTGAGCAAATTCTTTACTTGGTCAGCAGCTCAGTGTTTTAGATCATTTGGTATAGGGCCTGGCCAGTAACCTGAATGCCAATGAGTCAAGTCCTCTCACGAAACAGCCTTACGTTTCACTTCCGTTAACATCTAATATCAAGATTTACAACTGCTTCGAGACTAATATATCATATTAATTTACTGTTTGCATTTTCATATCACAGAAAAGGTTTGTGATATAAATTGACTCCAAAAGACACAAGATATCAATAAAAAAGAAAGTTAGTCATAGTGATTGGAACTGACGTTAGGTTGTCTCATTCAAAAATTTGCCGGGAAAAAGTTAAATAGTCATTCATCATATACTGGACAAAGTCAATTTTCATTATGATAAACAAGCAAAATATCATTCTGTAAACTATATTCAAAGACAAGCATCTTTAGTTTGGAAGCTTGTGGGGATTTGATCGATTCCAAGGTGGTATTCGTCATGGACCCCTCAGGAATGCATATGCACGACCTCGTCAGGGATGGAACCCATAGGCCTTCGGGTTTCACAGCTTTTCTATATCTAGGTGAATCTGTCTACTTGAAATTCTCAGGGACTAGTCTTTTCAGAAGCTTCAGTGAGGTTGTACTTCACGATAAATCTTCACCAATGAGCGTTTTTATATCAGCCTAAATTAAATAACTAGATCAGCCCAAATGTGGAATAAAGTCATGATATTTTGAAGTAGATATCTGCATCAGAGTAGTCTAGTTATCTTCACTGGGTTATGTGATATTCATAACCAATGAAGAATGATCCATCTGCTTCACTGAAATGGATATAAGTGAACAATAACATGTGAGAGTTAAAAACTGAATCCAATATACCTTCGTGTTAGAAAGTGATCTATCATCATCATCATCACCAATATCAATATAGGACCAGGCATTACTGCCTAACGGCCTGACTTACCACATCCCATATCACTACATCGAGTAGAAAGGTAGTGAGGCGCAAGATGAAGATAAGAGAATGCAGTCAGAAGAAATATAAAGTACGAAAAACGAGGAACGAGGAATTAGAAAATGATGAGATTCGGTATAGCGTCGTTAAGATGATGATAATGTGTGTATGCATCCGCGCTAATGACATCGGTTCTCAGCCAGATCACCTAGAGTCAGTGTCCAGCCGCTGGTTCCTCTTGTCCCGCCGGCCCCAACCACCTAGTCTGCATCGTCCCACATGGCTCAAACCAACAGTCAGAAAATTCATGCATCGGTGCTATGCCTTAGTCTGGCCATCTCGAGCCTTTTTTCAGCCTGGACCTACTTCGGCGAACATTGTGTGACGAGGCAATCGGTGACTAGGCTTACGTAACACATATCCCAACCAACCATCTCAGTCGATGAAGGTTCGTAACCTCGTCAACTGATATACCTCTTCTCTCTAAAACTCTATACCTGACTTCTGCGTGACTCACGTGCTCACACCACCGAATACGGCCTGTACTACGAAGATAGCGGTGGTTAAACAACTGAAGCCTTCTCATGTCTTCCACCTCCAATCGCCATGTTTCACAGCCATACAGTAGAGCAGACCGGACTGCTGTGCAGTACACGCCACACCTAATAGACAAACGAATATCGCGGTGGCGCCACAGGTGGCGCAAGTTGGCAAAAGCCAAGCCTTCATCGGCAACTGACCCACCAGGGCTGATCCTACTTCCCAGGTAAGTGAAGTGGTCAACACACTCAAACACTACACTCTCTTGTTAGTCGTGACACTGTTTAAGACCAATCCTAGAGCAAAAATTTGCATTTGGGTAGTGAGAACCGCATCCCAAACATTCTCAAATGCCCACTTAAAGTGTTTAGAAGACTCTGAATCTTGTCGGCATGTTCACCTAACAGAACACCTAACAGAAAGTGATACTTACGTTTCAGGAAGTACACCGTTGAGTTCAAATGGTGTGCTACTTCAGGCTGACATATTTTTTACTGTCGCTTGGAAAGTGAATATCTGATGGAAAATAAAGGCAACAGAAAGGAACATGATGAAGAGAAGGAACTGACATGGCTATGATAAGAAGACTCACAATGTCCAACGAAACTGAAGTGAATAATTTGTATTAATTTTATATACAAACACTGGCTACGTTCCACATTATTTATTTCAACCACCAGTTAATCTAATAGATTATGAGGTGAAATGAAGATCTGGATGGCGGTAAAATTCAGACTAGCCACCTCTGGCTTTCTGATCCGGCGCTCCCCAACAACATCTGTTGGCTGGATCTTAGTTTAATTTTAGTCATCAACGGTTTTGCTAGACCTTTATAGGAATTCGTGATATGTTACTGCCGCTTAATAGTATACACAACAGCTTCCCAGTCAAGACTTCTCAACACAATCTAAGTGTGAACCAGGGAACCTGAAGGCTCTGGGTTCGAACCCTCTTGGGATTATGGATGCGCACGGCTGAGAAGTTCCTTATTAGAATGAAACAACTTCACAATTAATGTCATTCCGTAATGAATACTAACCTGAAGTCATTTATTATATATATTCATTTGTCTTTTGGGTTCCTAGTGGAACATTGGGACTCAGTAGCACACCTCCATTACACTCTCTTCTCTGCAATAATTTGAACCTGGCTCCACCACTGCTCACAAGCTTTCATCTCTTCATCACATGATCTCCTCCATTTCACATTCGCCTCGGACGACCAACTCGCCGTTTCCCATCTGGGTTCCACTGGAGTACCTGGCCTGGAGCATGATGTCCCCAATCGGTCTTCTCAGTGAGTGCCCTATCCATCTCCACTTCTTTCTGCATATTTGTTGAGTGATAGGTTCTTAGTTGGTTCGTTGGCAGGCCAGAGTTCCTTGTTGCTTATTCTTATTATTCTGGCCATCTGAGCTTCAGTATTGAGTGAGCGTAGGTAGTTGCTGATAAATGTTTGTAGTTTGTTGGAAATGCTTTTGGTAACGCGCCAAGTCTCTGAACCATATAAAAGCACTGACTCGACGTTGGTGTTGAAAACCCGGATGGTGTTCACGCTTTATGCTGAGTGCAGATCTCCACACTGGTTTTACTTTAATGAAGACCTGTCTTGCTTTTCCGATCCTGGCTGGCTTTGACGTCCTCGTCTGTGCCTGTGCCACCTGCAGTTGAAACGATGCTACCTAGATAAGTGAAAGAGGCCATTTCCCTTAATTTTCTGCCGTTGATGGTGATTGGAGTTTGTTGTTGTTGTTGTTGGTGGTGGTGGTGGTGTCGGTTGGGTATCATCAGCACCTCTGTCTTCTCTACGTTCATTTGAATTCATTGAATATATAATTTCCAATTCTTACTCACCTTACCTAAGAGACTGTAAAGTATTGAAAAATAACAGGTGGTTTATAACACTATACACATTTATGCCTTTGTTTAAATTAAAAAAAATTTTTTCAGGCTGCTCAATTCCTTCAAAAAATCAATAGTGAAAGAAATGGCCGATGTAAAACAGCTGTACTTGATGAACTGTTTACAGATGTTGGTGTAAGTTTTCAACTTTTATATTGTTTCCACTTGCATGTTCTTGTCATATAGATTCAATTCTCATATGAGCAAATTATATATACATCAAGTTGGTCAGATTTTGTAACATTATCCAGAATAATCGATTCTTTTGAGTGATGATTAGTATTGTATAGCCTATGGTAGGTAGTTCACTGCTTTAAATTCTATACATGACCATATATAGTAGTGATCGATAATGGTTAGGAGTGAAATCCAGGATGCCTGTCTCGTCCGATTTGAGATTCGTCAGCTGGATGTACCTGCTTCCCAGTGAGTGATTTTATCCTCGCCAGGATTCAAACTCGTAACCGATCGTTTCAAACGTCAGACCACCATTCCTTGTGCTACGGGTATAGTTTTAGTCCTTTTGCTTGTATTATACCATTGTTGATTGGACCGAATCGATAGGTCTATATTGGTATATGGGCTTCTGCGCGGATGCCTCGATATCACCTGTGTTTTAATTATATATAGTAATTACCGATAGTGACCGATTCCAGGTACATCCAGCTAATGAGTCCCAAACAGGACGAAATGTGCATCCTGGATTTCACTGCTATCCACTATCCATCGTTAATATCTATAATTAAAACACAGGCAATATTGAGGCATCCGTTCAGCAGCCCACATGCCAATAGAGACCGATCAATTCGGTCCAATCAAACATGGTATAATACAAACAATAATACTACTTCTATATATAATCATATTAAGTGAATCAATACATTCAAATAAGTCTTCTCATCTAGAATATTGATTCATCGAATGACTATGTAAAAAGAACATAAAACTGGATGAGTCATAGCTGAAATCTGTGACTAGACCTACAGGTCTAGTGATTGAGGTTTATCCAATAATTTTTAAAGTGTGGTCAATCAGCAAAGTGACTCAACACTCTGGTGGTAGATTACCACACCATACGTGTCACACAAGGACTGGTTATTGCTACTCATTGACCTAGTGGATACCATTTTAGCGTTTCAAGTGATGAGTGTTTGTAATTCGAGTCTTTGGTGTGCAGGTAGACTCGATTGGAGAGTCTCAAACAAGACGAAATATACGTTACGGATTCCACTACTAGCCGCTATTCATTATCAACATATAAACCGTTGAATACATTCGCCTATATTGGTGGCTAATTGGAGAGTAGCTTTCGAAAATACTCATCAGTTGTATCACCAATTATCTATCATTGTTATATAATAATATTCTCTTCTTAACAGTATCAATAATCAGTTGTATGATACATTTTCTATAGGATGAATTCTTGCAATATCTACCAGATAAACCAATCTATAGATCTAAGAAATATTATGAATCAACCAAATGTATTTACAAGTTAGTCATACCTTACATAATTTATGCTATTGTTCATTTCATATATATTCTAGCCTACTTATGTATAAATACACACATACATGTGTACATTCGTTCATTTTAGATGATCGATTTTTTGCTAGTTTTTTTTTTCATTTTTGAATCGCCCTTCAAAACTGAATGTATCATGAGTTTGATTTTTTCTAAAAACGCGCGGGCACGCGCACGCACACACACACACATACTAACTGATATCACATGTTCAATTGATAATAAATAAATGAAATGATTCTTCTTAAATAGGTAATAATCATACTGTGTACTGCTTCTTATTTTTTCTTCTGGTTATTGTTATTTATTTATAAAATTCATTGCCAATATAAAATGTATTTAAAGTTTTAATTTTATTATATTGTATAGGAATTTGTAAATCACGTGTAACTCATCAAAGTAATAAGGAGAAGAAGGAGAATTTTTCATAAGAAACAAAAAAAGCATGATAAATTAGAGTTCAGTAATGTAATAAATAGATACTGTAAGACAGCTGACTTCATATTGTTTGAAAAAGCCTCTGAAACCTATAAGTTGAGTTCATTATAGAATTTTGATGATGAGAGGGATTTTCTTCTGAAATTTAGGTCAGTTATTAGCTTAATATGCATAGAATTGGTAGATCAGCTGACTCATTGTAATACTCTCTAATAATTGATATAATTTAATCAAGTCATTCATGATTACTAGTTAAACTGATTAACTGACATACTTTTTCTTCAATGGAAAAGTCTTCGAATAGGCCATTACCGATACCTATTGTCCTGATGGCATCCTTTTTAAGCATAAAAATCCTACCAACTTAGGATGGTGCTCCTGGACTTGTCTACAACTACTTCCAGTCTAAGAATATAGAGTGATTTGGTGGAATGTCTCGATCATTTCATTTACTTAGGGAGTGCGTCAGTTGGAATAGGCTGGTTGTTGACAAAATCTCACCCCTTTGATGTTTGCCAACCAGCGTTACCAGTTTTCTATCACACATATTTTCTCACTATTGGTCATGTATACAGAAATCACTATATGAGTAGTGTCGAGGTTAGATGAAGGGTTGTAGGGAAAAAAGGCAAGTTAGTCGATGAGGTTATCAACCTTCATTGATTAAGGTAGCTTTCACATGTACTGCACAGGCAAAGCCATTGCCTACCTTGATGATTAATCCTGGCATAAGGTAGATTAGGTTGTAAGACAGTTCATCGTGGCCAGACCAGTACGTAAAGTCACTGATTGTTAACGTGAGCGGTGTAGAGGTTCTCAAGACGACAAGAATCAGTGGTTGGGTGATCTTGATGAAATGACCCACCTACCTACCTACCTACCTACCTACCTACCTACCTACCTACCTACCTACCTACCTACCTACCTACCTACCTACCTACCTACCTACCTACCTACCTACCTACCTACCTACCTACCTACCTACCTACCTACCTACCTACCTACCTACCTACCTACCTACCTACCTACCTACCTACCTACCTACCTACCTACCTACCTACACACCTACCTACCTACCTACCTACCTACCTACCTACACACCTACCTACCTACCTACCTACCTACCTACCTACCTACACACCTACCTACCTACCTACCTACCTACCTACCCACCTACACACCTACCTACACACCTACCTACCTACCTACCTACCTACCTACCTACCTACCTACCTACCTACCTACCTACCTACACACCTACCTACCTACCTACCTACCTACCTACCTACACACCTACCTACACACCTACCTACCTACCTACCTACCTACACACCTACCTACCTACCTACCTACCTACCTACCTACCAACACACCTACACACCTACCTATCTATCTGTCTGTTTGTCTGTCCATCTCTTTGTCTACTGAAGCTTTCACCTCCCTTAAGACATGTGAGAAATCTAAAGAGCCTAGAAAAGAAGAAGAAATTTATAGGGTTACTGATGTATTACTCATAACGTTTTATAATGATAATGATCACTGATTTTTGTCTCAGCAACTTTGTTTTTATGCCTTTATCGATTGGTAGATTGTCTGATGAACAAGGTCACTTATCATTTGATTTGGTTGTGAAAAATCAACTGCCTAAACGTGCAGTCAGTGAAGACGATGTCTACTTTATTGATAGTGGGAATGAATTATTCGTTTACATTGGAAGTGCATGTTCACCATGTGAAAAACAGAATGCTCTTTCTTATGCACACGTAAGTTGATCATCTCTATTTATTTATTTATTTATTTATTTATTTATTTATTTATTTATTCATCCATTCATTCATCCTAATTGTTCGTTAATTGTATCATTTCGAATGTGAAAACAAGCGATTCATTGAAGAGATTCACTTCGGCGATTCCATTCACTAAGCTCTACACAATCGAATTTATCTGCTATTTTCTTGATGAAAATGTTCAATTAAGCATAGTAACAAACAGGGTGACATATCTCTTTAAAAAAAGGGGAAATATAATTTTCTACCTGAAATAATCGATTGTTCGACGCTAGTCCTGTTAAAAAAGGTTCAAGAACGCTGTCCTGAATCATTACAAGGAAGTCACAATAGATTTATATAAGGAATGTGATATTTGGATACCTTGTAGGCGCTGATCATTCAATCTTAACAACTACCTTCTATTTGAAAACTATTTACAAAGTGTAAAGAAACTTGCTGAATTCGCTGAGCATCCGTCTCTTTTATATGCTGAAGCTTTAGCGATTCCAGTCGAATAAATGAAGTTTTGCATACAAAAGAGACTCATTCAGCCCCCAATTTTGTCATGGTCTAAAATGTTAGCGTCTTGAAACGTCTCAACCTTTTCTATATATCATGAAATATTTCTTATTTCTTCACTCACCCTGGAGAACCGTGGGAAATCTGAAACCACTCTGGACAGCTGTTTTGTTCTAGTTTTGAAGTCCTCAACAGTACACATCTACAACCTTGCCAAGGATCAGACTCAAGACTGCTGAAAGGTGTCATACTAAGACGAAACAGCTGTCCAGTGCTGTCAGGTTTTCAGTGATTCTCAAATTGATGTCAGTCAGTGGTAAACACTACCTCAAAATTCAAATCACCATCAACCTCAAAATACATTACTGTATAGTGCTGACATGCTTCTAAATGGACATCGCGAAGTTCTAATGGTAAGCCATAATCTGTGGAGTTTAATCAGTTGAAAAAGAAGCGGATGACAACTGAAGATCTTGGGGGATAGTCCCACTATATCGCGAATCGACTGAAGTTGAAAACTGTGGGCCAGTTAGCTCTTTGGACGCATCGGCTGAATGGTTATCACGTTCACTGTGAAACCTTCAGTTCCTGAGTACGATTCCTGGTAGGGTGGTGGGCACCTATTTCTGCGGTGTCTCATACTAGAACAAGGCAGCAGTGCTTCCATATTTTTAATGGTCCTTAAACTGATGTCAGTCCGTAATCAATACTACCTTAAAAATGAAATCCCCCAAACCTCAAACTACACCCCGAATTTATATGTTAATGATAGACAGTAGGTAGGAGTGGATGTACCTTCCTCCCAGTAAGCGATATTGTTCCAGCTGACGAATCCCAAATAGGACGAAACGCGCATCCCGGATTCCAATGCTACCCACTAACCATCATGAATATACAGTTGAAACACAAACAATATGTCGAGGTATACGTGCAGGAGCCCATAAACAAATACAGACCGATCAATTCTGTCCACTCAACGGCGGGATAATATAAGCAACAACATTACACCTCAATTTATATTTTAAAACAGATTACAACCAGTCATTAACATGATATCAAGTTTCTTGGAGTACAAATCACTTTTAGTCTAATTTTCGAAGAATTTACAACGTGGGTCAAGATCTTCCAGGATTAGTTGATTAACTGAACTATGGTAGTGAACCAACAGAAGATTAAAATATGGAGCATTGGATTCCGACCCAGTAGCTCAATGGAGACATGCTGGCTACGGAACCTAAAGCTCATGGGTTTGATCCCTGAAAGGGTTGTGGGTGCGCACTCCTGAAGGGTCCCATAATAGGATGAAACGGCTGTTTAGGCATCCATGGTTTCTATTGTTCCTTCAACTGATGTCAGTCTACAATGAGTATAACAAACCCCTCAAATTTAACTGAACTTTACAGCTAATAGCCTAAAACTTAATTAATATCTAGAGGACAATTTGTGTAACCTTAATGATGTAAAATCAACTGTAGAAATTATGATCATAACTGCGCCGAGTCAAAGTGATCATCACCAATTCATTGTGAGTTCATTAGACGCGTCTCCGAGCAAAATATAAGACAAAATGGCTTCGAATACCCTGCAAAGCTCAAATCGCTTCAAGATTGTTGATAAGTCTTGGTAATGAAACCCAACAGTCAAAATAGAAGGCGAATCTACATCTTCTCATTGACTACCTTCTACTATGTAACCTCATCTATCTACTTTTCTTTGTTGAAGTTAACATATCGTATGTTAGCGGATATTTATAGCTCAAGTGGATAACCTTAGGTGTATTGTGTTCTCTGAGCTTTCAGTACCTTTCTAGACAACATCATGAGCACTAACTTCAGTATTGAGAACACAATAACTAAGATAAGACACTGTATCTCGAATTGATGTTTGTCATACCTCCAAATTTAAATGCATACATAACAACCCAGTGATGTACTGTTGATTATAACAAGTTAGCCTCACATACTGTAGGAATTAATGACCGGAATTAGTTGTGTCAACTTTTAAACTCAGGAAGCAATAGGCAATTATTTCACTTCACAATCTAACAATCTCACAGCACACGCATATTTCTCTACTCCAGGTTGAAGATATAAATTGTTGACTTATTTCATAGCACGACACTATCATCACTCCTGATCTTCAAAGGGCTAGTTGTCCAAGGTTCTGTTAAACCTTGATATTATTCAACCACTTCTATTGTCTGTGACATCCATTTGAATCAACCATCCGACCTAAAGTATAATTGCTTGTATTATACCGTCTTTGAATGGACCGAGTTGCTCAGTCTCTAGTGGCACATCGACTCCTGCGCCGATGCATCGATAGTGCCTGTGGTTTTAATCACATATAGTAAAGATGGATGGTGGATAGCAGTGAAATCCAGGACTGGTCAGATAGAGCTACCTACCTCGTAGTGTATTGTCCCCACCGGCACTCGAACTCTGGACCGACCACTTCAAACACCAGACCGTTACCGGCAACACCACCGAGCCACGACAGCCGTTTCTTGTACGATGGGTATAGTTTTAGTATTATTGTTTGTACTATACCGTCGTTCACTGAGAGGCAGGTACACCCAGCTGACGAGTCCCAAATAGGATGAAATGCGCATCCTACATTCCACTACTATCCACTATCCATCATTACAATTTAAGCTGTAGGCTAGGTAATTCATGGGCGGCAATAAAAATATGTCCCCATAAAATTACCATCAATCCAATAGGACGTATGTTCTCAGTTAAGTTGAAATATTATCATGGAAACTGTTTTATTTTGATACGTTTCATTTTATACCATGATCCTAATAGATTTTGTCTAAAATTACAATTTTTTACAAATCTAAGTTAATTTACCAATTGTATCTCATCAATTTCCTCTTGTATTCCTTTCCTTTTCTAAAAAAAAAAATAATTACAGGCATACTTGAAGATTACAAGACATCCTTTCATCCCAGTGACTGTTGTTGGCCCCAACCAAAGTTCAGAAGAACTCGATCGAGCATGGGATAAAGATAGAACAACAAGTTATTACAATAATTAAAATATATTGTCTAGGCCTATTTGTCACCTGAAGTTATATGGTATCATTAACATATACTTTCATAGACAATACAATAAAATATTTTAATACATTTTATTGCTGAATGTTTTTCTATGGAAATGAACCTGTAACAGTTTAATTTTCTCCTGTTTTTAAAATCTAATTGGTTCAAGTTAGTACAAGTTTTGTTCTAGTGATAAAAAATATGGCTATTAATATGCCTACTTATATAAATGTAAGTAGTTTGTTTAATTATACGAATAATTTTCGATTGCATCGTGAATTTTACACCTTCCTAAGGTAATTGTATGCCTAATTGAAGACTGTTTTATTATATTCTGAAGAGTTTGATTTTCCAGTATCATATTCTTTTAGTACTATGAAGAAATTTTCATTTCTATGGTAACTACAATCTATTCACACTGTTTTTTTTAATTATGTACTCTCAGTTAAATTAGAATAATATTCCGATTGGAGTTTATCATAATGGTTTGCCTTTTTCTGAATTATTGCAAGGGCGAATTTCTGAGGGGATAAAAAATTGACATCTTTCATATTCATATCAAAATTTAAAATGCATGCAATAAATTCCCCTTCATTTTTTATTACCGGTACGTAAAAATCAGTTTCTGAAAATAAAGCAAAATACGGATTCTGTATAGAGTCAAATTACAAGACTTAGGATTTTATCATCTCCATGGTAATGCTTACTTCACTCTAGTCGGTAACAATATCTAACATATAAACAACTTACTGGCTAAAAGTAACCTGAAACATTAAAAAGTTACCGACAGGATTTAAACTTTCAATGAAAGTTTATTGGTGGATATGAATATAAACTTAAGCCGGACAAATTTTTTGAATGAGTCTATGAAAGTAGATGAGCTGAAAATATCAAAATATTTCCTATATCGTATTAAACATGCTATTAAATATGAAATTTTCTGGCGGTTTGTTAAAAGTTGATCTTAGGGAACTGATTCATATCAACAATAATCTAATCGCCCAGTCACCATTCCTTCTCAGCTTTCTCATAGATGTACAGTGGATATAACCTTAGAAATCTCCAAATTAGCGGGAATCAATCTAATCCCAGAAGGGTATCTGGTTGATTTGGAGTACATACTACCACAGTGTCCTGCTAGTTGAAGACGCTGATGAAGTTTAGGGTCTTCTGAATGTCTTGAGCTGTACCTGTTAAATGAAAAATGATGCATTAGGAACAGTATGAAGTTATTTTCTAGTTTAGAGATTAGAAATCAGTTGATAGAATGTGTTATCCACTAGACCTACTTGAGATATTATATCAGTCCTAACAAGCTGATCACTGAGTTAATCTTTATAGGGACACAAATAGCCTGTTTGATATTTGCCAACTTACTCCACCTACCTATTGGAGGATAAGTCAACAATTCTTCCTGTCCCATAGTATATCTGTAAGACTCAACCATTGAAGGTAGAAGATATGAAAATATTACAAGTTTCTAAGCGCAGACATCTTCATAGCATTGCTTACATGTGTTGAAATCAACATACAAGCAATTTTGAGGCTATGTGTCTGGTAATAAACAAACAAAGTTTCTCAATCAGTTTGTCAACCTTGAACAACTGAGATGGCTTGAGCATGTGTTGTCCATGCCAAGCCACCGTCTATTTTAATATAAAATGTTGGCGGAGGAAGGACCGGGTTAGAAGAAGGCTTAGAGTTATCATTTCATGAAGTCGACGTCTTCTGGTCTGAGATGTGTAGGAAGGTGCATACTGCCTGAGTGAGGCCCTGAAGGAGATAAGAATAAATGGTTTCATATGCTTGGTGACATAGCCAAAGATCATTCACAATGTTGCAGATGTGTGTACACTCTGTTTGACTACCTTCGGTTAACTCTTTCTGTCCAGCTCTTTCCATGATTAATATTGTGAAGTGTAGCAACTTGAACCAGTGCACTTTTGTGTCAGTTTCCACGTTGATTTGTCTATCCATCGATCTTCCCTATAGCTTCAGTTAGTTAATTTCAGTTTCATTCACAAATGGATGCGGAAACTTTTCCCTATTGGTAACTATTATTTTTCGTATCTACGAACTTATTATTTATTATTATTATTATTAGTCTCTTGGGTTCCTAATGGAACATAGGGATTCACTAGCACGTCTCCAGTGAACTCTCTTCTCTGAAATCTTTTCAACCTGGCTCCACGACAGCCCACAACCTCTTATTTCCTCCTCACACCACCTCCTCCAGGTCACATTCGCCTCGGACGACCAACTCGTCGCTTCCCATGGGGATTCCACTCGACGGCCTGGCCTGACACTTGATGTCCCCAGTCGGCCTTCTCAGTGTATGCCCAATCCATCTCCACTTCCTTCCAAAGCATATTTGTTGGGTGATAGCTTCTTGGTTGGTTCGTTCCGAGCCAGAGCTCCTTCTTGCTTATTCTTTCTAACAATCAATCTGATCTTCAGTAGAGAGCCAGCGTAGGTGGCAGTTGTTGATGAATGTCTGTAGTTTATTGGAAATCCCTTTCGTAACGCGCCAAGTCTCTCAACAATACAGATGCACTGACTTGACGCTGGTGTTGAAAATCCGCATCTCGTTCCACATGCTGAGTGCAGTGCAGAAGATCTCCACACTGGTTTCAGGCTAATGAACACCTGTCTTCCGTTTCCGATTCTGACTTTGACATCCTCGTCTGTGCCTGTGTTGCCTGTAGCTGAAGCAGTGCTGCCCTACCTAGATAGGTGAAGGAGGTTACTTCCTTTAAGTTTCTCCCGTTCATGGTGATTGGAGTTTATTGTTGGTGGTGGTGCGGTGTCTTCATCACTTCTGTCTTCTCTATAGTCACCTGAAGTCCCGTCTTAGCTGCCTCGCCTCGTCTGACAACTTGTTAGTTTTCACCTGTAGATCTTCAAGTTTGTGTGACATCAGACACAAGTCATCGGCGAAATCCAGATCTTCTAAGTTCTTTTCTGCAGTCCAGCTAGCGTATCCCCCTCTTCCCACAGCACCCCACTGTTTGCTGAGTGGTCCAGTCCAGTCGACCACAATCAAGAATATCATGGATGATAGTAGGCAAACTTGTTTCACTCCTGTCTTCAATTCACTGCAAGGGCGTCACTGAGCTTCCCATTCTGAATTACTTGGCATGTGGTGTCTCCATATAGTTGTTGAATGACATTGATAAAGGTTTGTGGTATTCCGTAGAATTGAAGCAGTTTCCAAATTACCTCTCAGTTGACACTGTCAAAAGCCTTCTCAAAGTCGAAAAAGTTGAGGTGTAGAGTTGACTGCCATTCTATACTCTGTTCTCTGGTGATGCGCAGTGTAGCGTTGCAATTCGGTCCACACATGATTTGTACTTCCTGAAGCCTGCCAGCCAGCCAGCCTGTTTCGGTCGTAGTTTTGAACCTGGCGCATTCTTTAGCCTCTCCAGGATGATGCGGCTTAATATTTTGCTTGCTTTGGGTGGACAGGAGAGTGATTCCTCGCCACTTCTTGCAAACACTGAGGTCTCCATTCTTCGGCAGTTTGACAAGGTAACCCTTCTTCCCATCAATGGGCAGGTACCTTACCTTCCTTCCACACCTTCTGTATTAGTGGTGTAAGCATGTCCGCTGTTGTCTCTGCGTCTGTTCTCAGTGCTTCTGGCGGGATCCCATCTGGTCCTGCTGCCTCCCCACATTTCAGTTGCTTTATGGCCCTCAGGACTTCCATTTTTGTCGGAGGATTTATGTTCACTTATAGTTCTGTGCCTGTGGTGTTGGTGGTATTTCTGGAAGAAATGCAGGTGGTGGACAATTCAAGAGCTTCTTGAAGTGGTCGGCCCATTGTTTCCTTTGTTTCTCTTCTTTCCTAATTAAATTTCCTTCATCATCTCTTATTGGTTTCGTCTTCTTTGATCTCTTCCCTGATAGATAGTAACCTGGTTATTTGATACAATGTTGTCAGGTCTTTATCTCTCCTGCCTGCAGCCTGTTCTGCTTCACTTGCCAGTGTTTCGTAGAAGTGTCTTTTGTCTTTGCGCGCACCGTTCTTCACTTCTTTGTTCAGGGTAGTGTTTTATACATTGTACTCAGTTCCTCTTGTCGTTGAGCATCCTTGCATTGGTTTATCTTCTGCTTCACCATCCTCCTCTCCCTCCTCTCTCAGCTTCCAGGTACCCGTCGAGATCCATTCCTCATCTCCTTTCTTCTTCCTTCCTAATACGCTTATCCTGGTTTCTTTCCACATAGCTTTCAAAGACTTCCAGTGTTCTTCCACACAGGTTTCTTCAAGGATGTTCCTCCATATCTCCCATTTCGTCTTGATGGCTGACTGACGTGAAGATTTCCTTTGTAGTTTCATCCTTCAGTTTCTGTTCCGAGTGTTGTACTTGAACTGTGGTCTATCACCAGCTTCCTTGAAGGGTTAGCTTTCAACTTGATTTGGAAGGCAGGTTCCCTGCACTAGATAGTGCGTTGTCTGAACTTACATCCGCTCCTCTTCTTCACCTTGTGTCAAGTAGACTGCGTCTCCATTCTCTTGAGATTGAAATAAAGTCGATCTGATGTTTAGTGTGTTCTGGTGTCTGGTGGAATTAAATCCATGTCGCTTTATGGATATCCTTGTGCTTGAACACACTGCCTCACTGCAATCACCAAGTCCTTGAATGTACAGAATTCTGCAAACCATTCTCCACTCTCCTTCATCACCTCACCGAGTGATTCTCGAACCATGGTTAGTTCTCTTCCTGTGTTGTCCCCTCCCAGTTTGGCATTCATGTCACCCCACTCATTAGAATTTTGATATCGCCAACTGGCGAGGGGTCTTGTCCAGTGTTGATTGAAGTTGTCTGTAGAATTCCTCCTTCTTCTCTTCATCTGCATTATTTGTAGGTGCATAGTATTAGCATTGTATGATTGTGACCTTCCTTCCTTTTGAGTTGAATCTTGCTGTCATGATCCTGATGCTGGAGGAGATTGGTTCCCACTGCATGAGAGCCTTCGATGCTCTCAAAGGGGACATCATGATATCCACTCCAAAATTCAGTGTGCTCGTGGTTGTCGTCTGGGTGACAATATCGGAGTAGATTATTGATTCTCCAGTTGACAGTTTGCAGAGTCTACTCCCATTCCATCTACTTTCACAAATTCCAAGCACTTCACTGTGATAACTGTTCATCTCGTTTGCAATGTGAGTTGCCTTGCTGGGTTCAAATATGGTGCGGACATTCCATGTCCCCACGTTTACTTTTGCTTTCATCGAGAGAAGAGAAGACACATCGGCCAATTGGCTTCCCTAAGGCAGGCTTCCACCAAGTGGCGTCATTTCGTCTCTCCGATTCCAGTGAGGAATAATTTTGTTATTATTTTTTATATTTTGTTTGTGCTTTGAAGTTTGTTTAGCGGTTAGATTTGTTTGCTAGCCGTATGTCCAACCTTCCCTGTTTACCCGGGCTTAGGACCGGCTAGTAACTATTGAACTAGTTAACCAGGCGAGGTTATCTACGAACTTCCTTTTGTTCAACTCACAGACTTGTATTGGCTGGTGTTTTTCGCACAGATGCTTACAGCAAACATTGAAGACCTCTACAAACATCGAGCTTAGAAGTAACACCAATGTAGGTGGTTTACAGTATCTGCCTAACACAGAAAATCATCAGTTGTACTTTTAAAATCTGCACGATCGAAATGAACCAATACTAACATTTCATGTGGTAGTGTGGTAAGAGTTTCTTTAAGGAAAATAACAAGAATCCAAATCAGAAGATTATTGAAATTCCTTAATTTCAAACTGGTGCTCACCACGGACTGAGATCACCTGAAGAACCATTTAAAACCTGGGTGTACTGGACAACTGTTTCATCCCATTATAAGATTCCCTAGAACCACTCGCTGACAGCCTGGCAAGGACTAAAACACGGAGTGCTCAGGTGCCATGGTAACCACGTCACCACTGAGCCAATGGATTGGAATCCAATTTTCATTGATTCAATCTCATGTAGTTTTATGGTGTGCACCTCTCAGGAGTCCCACAATGGAATGAAATGACCTTCCATTGCTTCCAGATTCCTAATGGTTCTTGAAGTGAAGTCAGTTCCTGATATAAATACCACCTCAAAATATGCTAATTCACTAAATTGATAATCAAGTGGAAAATGGATTTTCTCATGGCATCTATAGGAATTTCAGGTCTGGATTGCTCATAATAACACACAAACCCAATGCAGACTGATAGATTTAGTAAATTTAGAATGTCTCTCGAGCTTTACTCAAAGAGAACATACTTCTTAGATCATAAAGCAGTGTAAAGAAATGATAAAGTTATACTAAAGTCGAGACATGCTTTGTAATAACCTACAAATGATCGGTAGTACTTGCGAACTGTGCTAAGGTGCCATCCCACATTATGCGCCACTGCCAAGGATTTTCAGCAGCCATAGAGATAATAAAAATTAACTCTAAACTGCCTTGTCTTCAAAAGGACTTTCACATTCAGCTTACTGTTCCGAACTGCTAGTGGTAATAATGGTGGACAGTTGCTAGCAGGAGTCAGTTTTCGTCCTAGTGAATACTTGTCAGCTGGATACTTCTGAAACACAGTGAGCAATTTTGTTCTAACTAGAATTCTTACATGAATCCCTGCTTCACTGGAGGAGTGAATAGCGCTGTGGAGTTTGAAGTGGTCAATCTTGTGTTCGACTCTCAGTAGGAACAACACCAGTCACCGGAAGGCAGGTACATTCCACACACAAGTCGTAAAAGGGGATGAAACACGAGTCATGGGTTTCACTGGTAACCACTATACATCACACCATAACAAACCGAAATTACTGATAGTATCGAGGCTTCCATCCAGGTGTCCCTATTCTGATAAGGGCCGTTCATTTCGATCTGATCAACCACAGGAAATTACATACAATAACATATCTACTCCATATTGCTTATTATCTGCAAGTTATTATCCTTAAGAATTTGAACATTCTGTCACAATGGATATAGAGATTAGTTTTATATCTAACAAAATCGACGACTACATGTTTGAAGATAAACAGTTGCTGAAAGTAGACAAAAGGTTAAACTTTGCTGTCAAATCAGTGACATTCATAGAGGTGCTCAACCATTTGTGTTTCGAACCTGTTATTATTACTGTGACAGTATTAGAAATAGAGTGTTGGAAACATCCTAATTTATCATAGCCACTCAATGAAAGCAAGCAGCTATTACAATCTAAATAAATGGCCAGTTTGTCAGCGTTGAAGACTGAACAAATGTGAAAATGTAAGAGTAAACTTTGTGCACTGTGGTAGAGTGTAATTCCATTTTTATTGGTTTATTAGGTTTATCACACTGTAAAGGAAGTGTATTGTTTACTGGATGACGTTTCTGACACAATTTATTGTCCATAGTCATATCAGGATAACTACTACACAACTTTGAGATATCCTTTATATAATCCTAATTTCCTCACCCCCTTTGTGATGACATGGATAATAAGATTTTCCATATATCCAGAACAGGGACCCAGTCATTCCTGTTTCTACATGTATTAGGTGTTGATTAGATAAACGAAGATTCAGTTATCAATCTCTCCCTCCATCCAACCCCGGTGTGTTAGTTTTAAGAATTTTTACACTGTCCCATCCTAGTGTGTGGTTGTATGCAATCGCATGGATAACTATGGCTGAACTATTTTCTAAATTCTTCACCTCACTAGGATCTACCAATTTTGAGCTAGCTAGGTTTTTGTAATCGGTTACCCTAATCAAGCTAGTTGACTACTTTCACCTATGCATTTGATGTCACAATCGCTACAAGGGATTTGGTAAAGTTGTTCTGCTTAATTGGGTCAATAGGCGTCTATATGAGCACCAATTGGCTATTAAGAGTCAAGATATTTCATCTCTCACTTCAATGCACGTGGATGACTATGGATATGAATTCAGCTTCGACAATATAGAAATTTTGGACAGAGAGGGGAAACACAAAGAATATCAGCGAATTCTTAGAAGCTTGACATTCAGGTCAGTCAGTCAGCAATCAATGCATATATAGACATAGACCCAATCTATCAACCAATGAGTTAAAAATAATAAGCTACAGGAAGATCAGAGGTGAAGCATAGCAACAGTCAAAGGGAAAATTTCTACAGTCAATGACACAACAATCAAAAGAAACAGTCAGTCACAGACCACTTCGTCAGGACAAACTACTCATGGAGAGATATTGACAGCTCGCTTCATACTGAAGTTAGTGCTGATGATGTCGTCTAGAAAGACGATGAAAGCTTAACGATTAAACAACCCAGCTCAGAGAACACAAGATGACCAAGACCACCCATCTGAGCTACAAATATTCTCCACTATTATTCTACTTCTAAAGAATGAATACCAATTAGGTTTTATCTCACTTTTAATCATCGAACTTTTGTGAAACTTCTAACTCGATTAACATCTATTGAACTTAGACTAACACCATTAGAATGAAAGTTTGATTGACAAGCAGACTTTGTTCTGAACTTTGAAAGTCGATTAGTATGAAGCTTAACCTAGGTTTCGTAAGTACTGACATTCATCATCAGAATATATATGATCCTTGAACTCACACCTCACTATCGTCCATATGCTAATAGAAATCGATCAGTAATCATCAACAAGAAATTATATGGACTAATAAACAACAACTGATAGTCATTGCGAAAGATGCGGCTGTCATGACTCAGGTGTCCAATAGATAACGCTTTGAGCGGTTGAAGTGATAACAGTTGAAAACGATTCTCAGTAGGAACATTATCACACAGTGGATAATACATCTATTCAGCTGATGAATCTCAGATAAACCGAAACGCATGACCTGAATTCCACTAATCACTAAAGTCAAGTGAATGGCATTAAAATAAAGTTTATTCATTATTAAAGTACTACTGTATAGTTTTAATTCATCAACAGTCCATTTGGAAAAGTTAACAAGTAAATAAAAGCCATCATATACTACTAACCCTACAGATATATTTATATATATATATACTACTTTCTTTTGTTTATGAGTATATATCATTGGACAAATTTCAATTTTCAATAACCTACTCATGTCTGTTGGTGTGATAGACAAGTAACCACTTAAATGTGAATTATGTAGCATTTTATTGATTGACAACGTTGTTTGAAATGCATAAATACACGGAATGAAGATTTTAGTTGTTACTATTTTTACTCCATTTGCCATTATCATTAGTGATATTGTTGATTCAAAGTAGTGGATCGGTTTCTTCTAATAGTAATAATAATAATAGTCATTATAATGTCAGAATGTTTAATCCCGATGAAACAGTATGATTGGAAGAATACTAATTTAACTCTGTTTGGTTCAGATATTGAAAAATCAGTGAAAAGTAAGTCAGTCAATGTATATTTTTACTATCTATGATGAAAATAACACTGAAAATGCAGTAGGCTGAATTTACCTTATTCTGAATTGTGTCTGAAGGTTTGTGAAGCTTTAATAATTGATTCTCGGTTGAAATTTATGATGGACTGACATCACTCGGAGGAATGTTGGGAACCTAGGAGCACAGAACTTCAGCTGTTTCATCCTAGTATGGTACTTCTCAGCAGTTCGCACCCGTGAACCCACCCCACCATGGATCAAACCCACAACTTTCAGGTTCCATAGCCAGCAGGTTACCACTGAGTCACTGCGTGGGAACCCGATGGACCATATTTCCTACTGCTGTCAGTTCACAATATAGCGCGAACTGCATCCAATGAATTCCAACTTAAAATCCATTAATATACCTCCACAAACCTCCAGATAGAATTAATCTAGCACTCAATAGTGACTAGGTTTGAGTGGTGATTCTCAAAATTCCAATGAGAACTGGTGACCAGTAGAGTCAACGAAGTCGAAAATGAGCACAGTTAATTAACGACAACACTGGATGTAGGTTGCGCTGTATCGTGAACCAACAGAGGAACTATCGGCCGTCGGACTCCCACCTAGTGAATCAATGGTGACGTAGTGGCCAACGAACCCCAAGGTCTCGGGTTCGACCCGTGGCAGTGTCCTGGCTGCGCACTGCTGAGGAGTCCTATACTAGGTCGAAACAGCTATCCAGTCCTTTCAGGTTTCCAATGTTCCTCCAACTGACGCTAGTCCATGATGAATTCCAATCTGAAATTAATCCTGAAGTGAACCGATATATTTATGGCAAAGTGGGAAAATCAACCAGTGCATAGAATGATAAGCACATTTTCGTCTTACAGGAGGTAAACTTAAGACACTTTCACTCTGTACAAGAAGGATACTAATGCTGATAGCTTTCACGACGTGTTTAACACCGTTGACTTGGAATTTCAGTTCATCTCTAAAACAGAGAAGGATGAATGTGTGACATTTCTTGATATTTCGCTGAGAGAACAAACAGACTATAGTATTCGGTGCGGTACACTTCATAAGAAGTCACTTGTCAGTTAGTAAGCGCATTTCTGATGATTTGCTACTCTTAAATACAAATAGAATCGAATCCACACTGTGATACTTAGAACCAGGAAGCGTTACACAGCTGACACTTTAGAAGTTGAAACAGGAATGACAGGCATCGTCTTATGTGAAAATGGTTATCCTGAGGACTTCATTAGGACTGTCACAGTGAAAATACCGAGTGGAAAGTGCCTTCAGAGGGTACTGGAAAAACAGTTTTTCAGACTTTAACACTCAAAGAAGATGCAACTGCAAAAACATTGACACCGAAACTAAGGAAACTAGTATGAAAGACTTGCTGTGGTTGAAAATGAAATGCACTTAACAACCTTGTATACATCCATGCAATAGGCAATGAGGCAAAGCCTTTGTGTGAGGGCTTATGATACGACTTGACTGACCAAACCCTGGTAGTGATATGAGTGTCCGAAATTGTAACCCAATGGTTAAAAGTCATCTTCTAGAATCTAGGAACCACAGCTTCACTCTTTCCCTGGTGTAACACTGTACTTGAAATATACTACTGACAATATGTTACTAACACACTTGAAGGATAAGCTACCGAATCTGGTAAATAGAACAACCTGGCAAGCACATCATTGCTTCATTTAAAACTGTCCAGTTTAATTGAGTAAAGAAACAGTGAAATTCATCCAAAGCACAACACTCTGAAAGACTACAGGGTATCTTTTTCGCAATAGTCCCCTCGGAATCATTCGCATTATGTGTCAATACTTCCTTTAATTTCTTTTATTATTTATGAAAATTATGTCAGGTATTAGATAAATAAGCCTGACTGTAGTCAACAGTAACTCCTTAGTCCCAAATTCAACGCCTACCACTGACATGACATCAGTGATATGACACCATTTTAAACAAATGTTTTGAGTACATGTCACAATGAATAACTTATAAACGTAAATCCAAGTTAATTTATCTTCCCTCATAAGAAATAAAAAATGGCAACAAAGTAAGACAAAACTATACAGGGCCGAACTGCTCGACCTCTGTTGGAAGACAGGATCCTATTTGGAGGCCTCAATTTTATTATTAATTATTATTAAGCCTTTAGGTTACTAGTGGAACATAAGAGCTTCACTAGTAGATCGCCATTTCAACATCTTCTCTTCAGTCTTATCAACAAGGCTACACCACTGCCCAAAACACTTCATTTCCTCATCACAAAATCTCCTCCATCTCACCCTCGTCTCCGACGCCCAACTCATTGTTTCCCATTTGGCTCCTAATCAAGGGCCTGGTCTGGTGCATGATATCTCAAAACCGTCTTCTCAGTTCACCTGCTATCCATCTCATCTCCTCTTCCTTCTGCACATATGTTGGGTGATAGATTCCTTGTTGGCTGGTTCTTTGCCAGCTAGACAGACTTCCTCCTTGCTTATTCTTATTATTCTGGCCATCTGATCTAACTCTCAGTATCGAATGAGCAAAGGCGGCAGGTGTTGATGATATACATGTGTGCAATTTGTTGGAAATGCATTTCGTGACGCGCCAAGTCTCTCAACCATCACATAGAAGCACTGACTTACTTGACTGATATTAGTGTGAGTTGAGAATCCGGATCTCGTTCACACTGTATGTTGAGTGCGGTGCAGTGCAGATTGATGAAGGGAGGCCTGTATGGCTGTCTTTCCGATAGTGACTCTGACCTCCTCATGTGTGCCTGTGCTACCTGTAGTTGAAACGATGCTTTCTAGGTAGGTAGGTGGGTGGGTAGGTGAAAGAGACAACTTCCTTCATATTTCTCCCGTTGGTGGTGATTGATGCTTGTTGTTGTTGTTGGTGGTTGTTTGGATATCTTCATCACCTCTGTCTTCTCCAGGTTCACCTGAAGGAAGTCGCGTCTTCGCTGCCTCGCCTCTTCAGCCAACTTTTGGTTTTCGCCTGTAGATGCTTCAATATTGCCGGTTACTCATGATGTTATATCGATCTTGGTGACTATTACAGGAATCCAAGGTACGTATTTCGCCATATTTGAGACTCGTTAGCAACTGTAGCACGTTAGCCACCTCTTGTATAAAGGATATCAGTTGTTGTACTGATACTTTTAATTTCCCGTTCCTATTGTGGGATGGTTAACTAGTTCAATAGTTACTAGCTGGTCCTAAGCCCGGGTAAACAGGGAAGGTTTGGCATAGGGCTAGCAACTCTACCCCGCAAAACAAATCTAACTGTTAAACAAACTTCAAAGCACAAACAAAATATAAAAAATAATAACAAAATTATTCCTCACTGGAATCGGAGAGACGAAATGACGCCACTTGGTGGAAGCCTGCCTTAGGGAAGCCAATTGGCCGATGTGTCTTCTCTTCTCTCGATGAAAGCAAAAGTAAACGTGGGGACATGGAATGTCCGCACCATATTTGAACCCAGCAAGGCAACTCACATTGCAAACGAGATGAACAGTTATCACAGTGAAGTGCTTGGAATTTGTGAAAGTAGATGGAATGGGAGTAGACTCTGCAAACTGTCAACTGGAGAATCAATAATCTACTCCGATATTGTCACCCAGACGACAACCACGAGCACACTGAATTTTGGAGTGGATATCATGATGTCCCCTTTGAGAGCATCGAAGGCTCTCATGCAGTGGGAACCAATCTCCTCCAGCATCAGGATCATGACAGCAAGATTCAACTCAAAAGGAAGGAAGGTCACAATCATACAATGCTAATACTATGCACCTACAAATAATGCAGATGAAGAGAAGAAGGAGGAATTCTACAGACAACTTCAATCAACACTGGACAAGACCCCTCGCCAGTTGGCGATATCAAAATTCTAATGAGTGGGGTGACATGAATGCCAAACTGGGAGGGGACAACACAGGAAGAGAACTAACCATGGTTCGAGAATCACTCGGTGAGGTGATGAAGGAGAGTGGAGAATGGTTTGCAGAATTCTGTACATTCAAGGACTTGGTGATTGCAGTGAGGCAGTGTGTTCAAGCACAAGGATATCCATAAAGCGACATGGATTTAATTCCACCAGACACCAGAACACACTAAACATCAGATCGACTTTATTTCAATCTCAAGAGAATGGAGACGCAGTCTACTTGACACAAGGTGAAGAAGAGGAGCGGATGTAAGTTCAGACAACGCACTATCTAGTGCAGGGAACCTGCCTTCCAAATCAAGTTGAAAGCTAACCCTTCAAGGAAGCTGGTGATAGACCACAGTTCAAGTACAACACTCGGAACAGAAACTGAAGGATGAAACTACAAAGGAAATCTTCACGTCAGTCAGCCATCAAGACGAAATGGGAGATATGGAGGAACATCCTTGAAGAAACCTGTGTGGAAGAACACTGGAAGTCTTTGAAAGCTATGTGGAAAGAAACCAGGATAAGCGTATTAGGAAGGAAGAAGAAAGGAGATGAGGAATGGATCTCGACGGGTACATGGAAGCTGAGAGAGGAGGGAGAGGAGGATGGTGAAGCAGAAGATAAACCAATGCAAGGATGCTCAACGACAAGAGGAACTGAGTACAATGTATAAAACGCTACACTGGACAAAGAAGTGAAGAAGAATGCATGAAAGACAAAAGACACTTCTACGAAACACTGGCAAGTGAAGCAGAACAGGCTGCAGGCAGGAGAGATAAAGACCTGACAACATTGTATCAAATAACCAGGTTACTATCTATCAGGGAAGAGATCAAAGAAGACGAAACCAATAAGAGATGATGAAGGAAATTTAATTACGGGGAAGAGAAGCAAAAGAAACAATGGGCTGACCACTTCAAGAAGCTTTTGAATCGACCACCACCACCAACTGCACTTCATCCAGAAACACCACCTACAGCCACAGAACTATAAGTGAACATAAATCCTCCGACAAAAATGGAAGTCCTGAGGGCCATAAAGCAACTGAAATGTGGGGAGGCAGCAGGACCAGATGGGATCCCGCCAGAAGCACTGAGAACAGACGCAGAGACAACAGCGGACATGCTTACACCACTAATACAGAAGGTGTGGAAGGAAGGTAAGGTACCTGCCCATTGATGGGAAGAAGGGTTACCTTGTCAAACTGCCGAAGAATGGAGACCTCAGTGTTTGCAAGAAGTGGCGAGGAATCACTCTCCTGTCCACCCAAAGCAAGCAAAATATTAAGCCGCATCATCCTGGAGAGGCTAAAGAATGCGCCAGGTTCAAAACTACGACCGAAACAGGCTGGCTGGCTGGCAGGCTTCAGGAAGTACAAATCATGTGTGGACCGAATTGCAACGCTACACTGCGCATCACCAGAGAACAGAGTATAGAATGGCAGTCAACTCTACACCTCAACTTTTTCGACTTTGAGAAGGCTTTTGACAGTGTCAACTGAGAGGTAATTTGGAAACTGCTTCAATTCTACGGAATACCACAAACCTTTATCAATGTCATTCAACAACTATATGGAGACACCACATGCCAAGTAATTCAGAATGGGAAGCTCAGTGACGCCCTTGCAGTGAATTGAAGACAGGAGTGAAACAAGTTTGCCTACTATCATCCATGATATTCTTGATTGTGGTCGACTGGACTGGACCACTCAGCAAACAGTGGGGTGCTGTGGGAAGAGGGGGATACGCTAGCTGGACTGCAGAAAAGAACTTAGAAGATCTGGATTTCGCCGATGACTTGTGTCTGATGTCACACAAACTTGAAGATCTACAGGTGAAAACTAACAAGTTGTCAGACGAGGCGAGGCAGCTAAGACGGGACTTCAGGTGACTATAGAGAAGACAGAAGTGATGAAGACACCGCACCACCACCAACAATAAACTCCAATCACCATGAACGGGAGAAACTTAAAGGAAGTAACCTCCTTCACCTATCTAGGTAGGGCAGCACTGCTTCAGCTACAGGCAACACAGGCACAGACGAGGATGTCAAAGTCAGAATCGGAAACGGAAGACAGGTGTTCATTAGCCTGAAACCAGTGTGGAGATCTTCTGCACTGCACTCAGCATGTGGAACGAGATGCGGATTTTCAACACCAGCGTCAAGTCAGTGCATCTGTATTGTTGAGAGACTTGGCGCGTTACGAAAGGGATTTTCAATAAACTATAGATATTCATCAACAACTGCCACCTACGCTGGCTCTCTACTGAAGATCAGATTGATTGTTAGAAAGAATAAGCAAGAAGGAGCTCTGGCTCGGAACGAACCAACCAAGAAGCTATCACCCAACAAATATGCTCTGGAAGGAAGTGGAGATGGATTGGGCATACACTGAGAAGGCCGACTGGGGACATCAAGTGTCAGGCCAGGCCGTCGAGTGGAATCCCTATGGGAAACGACGAGTTGGGTGTCCGAGGCAAGGGCGACATGGAGGAGATCGTGCGAGGAGGAAATGAGAGGTTGTGGGCTGTTGTGAAGCCAGGTTCAAAAGATTTCAGAGAACGGAGCTCATTGAAGACGTGCTACTGAAGTCGTATGTTCCATTCGGAACCCAAGAGACTAATAATAATAATAATAATAATAATAATAATAATAATAATAATAATAATAATAATAATAATAATTGTGGGCTGAATTGCACAAGAGTTGGTATCATGCACCATCGGCTTAGTTGATAACGCTCTGGTATTTGAAGAGAAGGGTAGTGTGTTCGAGCTCCACTGGGAACATCACTTCGCACTGGGGTTCAGGTATATTCAGCTAACTAGCCCCGAATAGGAAGGAACGCGCCTCCTGGACTCATCTGCTAGTCAAGAAAATCAGTATAATACCACAAAAGTACACTAAAGACTGTTTCATTTGCCCATTCAAATGTCGACAAATTTAAAGTTATTTAATTTAGAACAGACCAGTTATGAGTCTATTATCATTTACTGTATATAGATTAGGTTGCATTACAGATTTTACAATTACAAGTTTAATTTTCGGTCATATATAAATACGTTAAACGAACCTGTGCTGTTTAAAAACGGTCACTGTTCAATCTGAGGGTCACATGAATATGCACAGCATGCTTTTGTTCAAAATAATTCGGTTCATGAGTTAGCTACTTAAAACGAAATTGTTACAGTGAAATAATATCCCCGCTCCTAAACATAAATAATTCACCCTAATACTCAAGATAATGATTATGAAAAATGCAGACTAGAATTTTAAACACAATGTGATTTGATTCAAGGTCACTAGTAGATCTTGAATGTGAGTGGAAGAAAGCTAAAATGTAACTCAGATTGTGAATTTTCGATTGACTGATACACAAGTGAGCTACTTTAATCACTTAAAAACTGTAAATTTATATACATCTAGAATGAAGTAGCAATATTCATGTATACATTTAAAAGCCCTGGCTAAATTTATAACCACTTCATCCTTTTTAAGATACCCCTCTCCACTCCCTTGAATGACTGCTATTCCATACAGAATTTTTTAAATTTCATTGCAGTTATATGAATATTCTTATCCTAGCTGTGTTTGAATTCATTTTTGAAGGTTTGTGAGCATTTATTGGTTCAAAGTTAGTATTCATCATGGTCTGATACCAACTTGGAAATCTGGGCTTGACCCCTAGGGGGAGTTATATGTACCAACTCCCGAGGAGTCCCATCCTTCCATGTTTTCAATGGTTCCCTAAACTATTTTGAACGCATTACGTGGGAATGGTTTTAATCAGTCCTTTTTATTAGGTTGCTTTGCGCTCTTGATGTGATAATATTTTCGTTTTCTGACAGGAGATTGTAACGGAATAGTAACATTTTATTCCCGGTTGATCTTCTCAAGTGAAGTAAATCTTCTCAACTTAAATGCGTATCTCAGATTGGTATTGATCATGGACTGACATCAGTTAGAAGATCACTGAAAACCTGGGAGTACTGGACAGCTGTTTTGTCCCAGTACGAGACTCCTCAAAATTGCATAGCCATGACACTATCAAGAGTCGAATCCGCGACCATCAGGTTACGTGGCCAGCACGTCCCCATTGAGTCACTGGTTAGGGACCCAGTGATCCATATTTTCTACTTCTTTCAGTTCATGATATACTGTGACCTACATCCAGTGTCGTCGTCGAACAACTGTGCTCATTTTCGATTTGGTTGATTTCAATGTAACTTCCAGAATCATCTCTCGATGCTAGTCACCAATGAGCACCCCTTTAATTCACTCGAGGGGTGGAGATGTAGTAACTGATTTCAGGTTGGAATTCATTATCATCGACCCCTAGAGGGATGAGATCATGAGTGCACACTGCTGAAGAGTCCCATATTAGGTTGAACCAACTGTCCAGCGTTCCCAGATTTCCAATGTTCCTCCAGCAGATGTCAGTCCATGATGAATTCCAACCCAAAAGCAATTAATAAAACCTCCACAAATCTCCAGATAGCCTTATTATTATTATTTATCCCTTGGGTTCCTAGTAGGACATACGGCTTCAGTAGCCCGTTTCCATTCCACTTTCTTCTCTGCAGTCTTTTGAACCTTGCTCAACGACTTCCCAGAAGCTCTCATTTCTTCCTGACATGATCTCCTCCATGTCACCTCTGCCTCGGATGCCGAACTCGCCGTTTCCCATCCAGACAGCCTTAGTGTTTATTAATGAGGCTATGTGATATAAGTGTGACTCGGTAGGCTAATATCAATGGATCATGACAGAAATGGAACCTTGAGTCATGGCATCAATAATGATATTCATCAAATACAACTAGAGACATTTTAGTAATTGAAATGAAACGTGTTTTACTATTCATCATTCAATATTTAACTATACTAACCCTTCGTTTCACTTGGTGTTGTGTTTTTCTCAAGGTCTGTTAACAATGGCATCAATAATTTCATCACATCTGCCTAAAGATTCAGTTATACACTGTTAGCATTGAAATCAAAGTTCCAGAAGGCAACCAACCGAAACTGACAGTTTATAGGAAAATCTAAAGAACACTTCCCCCTTCAATCATAATTTATGATAATTTATGATTTCACATTCATGGGAAAGATAATTACTATGACAATTCATCGTTAGACTTGAAGAAGAAGAAGGAGAAGGAATAATATTGAAGGAAAGGAGAATATAAAGACGAAGGAAGGAGTGGTACAGTAGTCGTTAAGTATGGCACATCTTGCTGTAAGATAGTCATTTGCATAATGTACTTCATTTCCTCTTCTGCTTCTTTCTTTAGTTGCCCTTAATATGCCTGTATTGTCTTTTGTGTTTCTTTGGGCAGAATCCTTACCCACTGTTGGTAATTCTCTATGATTTCTGCAGTCCTCTCAACACATACTACTTATATTCAATCTTATCAGCAGCACTCACTACAATATTTCATTGTACAGTTTTATATTTCACCCTACTAACTACCTGTCATCTCACTCTTGACTGTCACATTTAAAAATGACCTGGTGGCATGATAGACTTTAAGTTTAACTGTAAGAAGTTGTATATGTAAGACAAAAAGGAATGCTGAAGATTATCTTTGACTGTGTTGTCCATGATAATGATACTCAAGCATATAAGGAGATAAATTTACTAATCTGTTCTTTCAACTATTTCAGAAGAAGCTGCTGAGACTGAGAAAGCATGGCAACCTATAAAATTTGTCAATGCATCAACTCTTATGGTTTGGCGAATAAATGTGAGTCGTCTATATTAGACTGGTACAACCAGTGTAAAACTGTAAAGTATGCCTATTCAGTGCCTATAATCCTTCTTTTTTTCTTCTCTGAATAAAATGGAATATTGTTCATTATCTATCATCCGAGGAAAAACTGGTAACTTTGAGAAAATTAGTGACAGCTTCTTTTAGCTCTACTGTCCTTATGGTTTGAATAGTTTAATAACTCAATTAAATAAGTCTCAAACTGGAGAAGAAATTCTTTGAGAAGCGGTTTCAGCAGGATATACTACTACTGAATAACGTGAGTAGTTGGAAACTAGGCAGACTAAGCAGTAGATTTTGCTAAACAGACCAGAATGATCTAATCACTGGGCGGCTGTTTTGCTTTTAAGGGGCCAAACTCACAAAAGATTGTGAACACTTACCACTGAAGAATCATGAATAGGAACGAAACATCTACCCAGTTCCCACAAGTTTTCAATGCTTCTCCGGCTTATTTCGATCTGTAAAGCAGACTCCTATCAAATCATTATATGCTATGCTGTACTTGAAGCTGCGAATATCAAATTTCCCATATGGATCAACTAGCCTTAAAATGATAGTAAACTCCAGCTTGACAACGAATCTTATATGACATTCATTATCAGTATGAACATAAATATTTTATGGCATTACTTTTCATCATCAGTTAAATCAGCAGTTCATAATGTAATCTATTTGATGGTTAGCAGTGGAATCCAGGACGCACATTACGTCCTGATTGGGACTGGTCAGCTGGATGTACCTGAACCCCAATTTATCATATATATATCACCTCGCCTGGTTAACTAGTTCAATAGTTATGAGCCGATCCTAAGCCCGCATAAACAGGGAAGGTTGGGCATAGGGATAGCAAGCCTACCCCATAAAAACAATCTAGCCGCTAAAGAAACTTCAAAGCACAAAGAAAATATAAAACAGAAAAATAAACTTATTCCTCGCTGGAATCGGAGAGACGAAATGACGCCAGTTGGTGAAAGCTTCTGGGAAGCCGATTGGCCACTGTATCTTCTTTCTCTCGATGAAAGCAAAAGTAAGAATGGGGACATGGAATGTCCACAACATGTATGAACTTAGCAAGGCTGCTCAGATTGCAAAAGAGATGAGGAGGTATGGCATGCAAGTTCTAGGAATCTTCGACGAATCTGCAGATGGAATTCAGGTGGACTCTTCAAACTGTCAACTGGAGAATCAATGATCTACTCCGATACTGTCACCCAGACGACAACCACGAGCACACTGAGTTTTGTAGTGGATATCATGATGTCCCCAACAGCATCGAACGCCCTCATGCAGCGGGAACCAATCTCCTCCAACATCAGGATCATGACAGCAAGATTCAAATAAAAAGGAGTGAAAGTCACAACCATACAACGCTACACTATGCACCTACAAATGATATGGATCAAGAGGACAAGGAGGAATTCTATAGACAACTGCAATCAGTAATGGACAAGACCCCACTTAAGATGGCGACATCAATATTCTAATGTATGTGGTGACATGAATGCCAAACTGGGAGGGGACAACACAGGAAAAGAAGTCCTCATGGGTCGAGAGGCACTCGGTGAAATGAACGAGAATGGAGAATTGTTTGCAGAATTCTGCGCATTAAACTATTTGGTGATTGGAAGCAGTGTGTACAAACACAAGGATATTCACAGGTCAGCGACATGGATTTACTTTCATCAGACACCAGGACACTAAAAATCAGATAGACTTCATCTTAATGTGAAGAAAGTGGAGGTGTAGCCTACTAGACACAAGATCAAGAAGAGGAGCAGATGTAGGTTCAGACCACTCAATATCTAGCGCAGAAACCTTCGAAATAAATTTTAAAGCTCTCAAAGATGCTGGTAATGACAGACCACCGTTCAAGTTCAACAACCAGAAACCGGACATGAAGGACGAAACTACAAAGGATATCTTCACGTCAGTCAGCCATCAGGAAAAAAGGGAGACACTGAGCAACATCACTGAAGGAACCTACGTGGAAGAACACTGGAACTCCTTGAAAGAGACATAGAAGGAAACCTGTATAACCGTGTTAGGAAGGAAGAAGGAGAGACAAGACAAGTAATGGATCTCCACAGGTACATGGAAGCTGATAGAGAAGGGAGAGAAAGATGGTGAAGCAGAAGATGAACTAGTGCGGTGCAAAAGAAACTGAATAAAACCCCAAAAACACTTGACAAATAAGAGAAGAAGAGTGCGCAAAAAGACAAAAAACACTTCTACGACACACTTGTAACTGAAACAGAACAGGGTGCAGGTAACAGAGACGGAGACCTGACAATATTACATTAAATAACCAGGTTACTATCTGTGAAGAGATCAACACAGATGAAGCCAATAAAAGATAGTGAAGGGACCTAGTTACCATGGAGGAGAAACAAAGGAAACAATGGGTTGACCACTTCGGAAAACTCTTGAACCGATCACCACCTGCAACATGTCCAGAAATACCACCAGCAGCCCAGCCACAGAATTACTACTGAACACAAGCCCTCCGTCAAAAGCTGAAGTCCTGAACGCCATAAAACTGCTGAAGTGCAGGAAAGCAGCAGGACGAGATGGAATGCCTCTAGAAGCACTGAAAACAGACGCAGAGACAACAGAAGACACCCTCACACCACTAATGCAAAAGGTTTGGAATGAAGGAAAGGTACCTGCACATTGACTGGAAGAAGGGCCGCCTTGTCAAACTCCTAAAGAAAGGAAACCTAAGTCTTTGCAATAACTGGCAAGGAATCACGCTGCCGTCCACCACAAGCAAAATATTAAGCCACATCATCCTGATGAGACAAAAGAAGGCGCAGAACTCAAAATTACGACCGGAACAGGTTGGCTGGCTTCAGGAAAAACAAATCATTTGCGGATCAAATTGTAACGCTAAGTTACATATCATCATAGAACAGTGCACAGAATGGAAGCCAACTGGATCATTATCTCAACTTCACCGTCTTCGTAAAGGCCTTTGACTGCATCGAACGAGAATTAATATAGCAGCGACCTCGAAACTACCGCTCTGATGCCACAAGCCTTTTTCAACCTCAATCAACAACTGGCTATGTGACGACGCCGCATGCCTACTGATACACAATGGAAAGCTCAGTGACGACTTTGAAGTGAAGACAGAAGTAAGACAACGTTACTGCCGACTATCACCGAACATCTTCTTGATTGTGGTCGACTGGACTGGATTGGACTGTATTATATAACGAACTGTGAGGAGCTAGAAGATGGACATACGCTGGCTGAACCGATGAAAAGAGCCTAGAAGATTTGAATTTCGCCGATGATTTATGCCTAACACGGCACAAACTCAAGGATATACGGTGGAAATCTAACAAGTTGACAGAAGAGGCAAGGCAGCGAAGACGCGACTTCCTTCAGGTGAAGCTGGAGAAGACAGAGGTGATGAAGATATCCAAACAACCACCAACAACAACAACAAGCATCAATCACCACCAACGGGAGAAATATGAAGGAAGTTGTCTCTTTCACCTACCCACCCACCTACCTACCTAGAAAGCATCGTTTCAACTACAGGTAGCACAGGCACACATGAGGAGGTCAGAGTCACTATCGGAAAGACAGCCATACAGGCCTCCCTTCATCAATCTGCACTGCACCGCACTCAACATACAGTGTGAACGAGATCCGGATTCTCAACTCACACTAATATCAGTCAAGTAAGTCAGTGCTTCTATGTGATGGTTGAGAGACTTGGCGCGTCACGAAATGCATTTCCAACAAATTGCACACATGTATATCATCAACACCTGCCGCCTTTGCTCATTCGATACTGAGAGTTAGATCAGATGGCCAGAATAATAAGAATAAGCAAGGAGGAAGTCTGTCTAGCTGGCAAAGAACCAGCCAACAAGGAATCTATCACCCAACATATGTGCAGAAGGAAGAGGAGATGAGATGGATAGCAGGTGAACTGAGAAGACGGTTTTGAGATATCATGCACCAGACCAGGCCCTTGATTAGGAGCCAAATGGGAAACAATGAGTTGGGCGTCGGAGACGAGGGTGAGATGGAGGAGATTTTGTGATGAGGAAATGAAGTGTTTTGGGCAGTGGTGTAGCCTTGTTGATAAGACTGAAGAGAAGATGTTGAAATGGCGATCTACTAGTGAAGTTCTATATTCCACTAGGAACCCGAAGAACAAATAATGAAATAATTTTATATATATATATATATATAATGAATATCCAGGCAGTATCGAGGTATCTGTCTGCAAACAGAGGTCGAACATTTCAACTCAATATGGCAACGAGAAATTACAATAAGTTTATATTCTTTCGTTCTAATGAAGGTGAAGTTATGCATATTACTTACTCGTATATGTTCTGATATTATTCGCCTTACTCGATTCAATTTAATAAACGAATCCATACCACTGAACATGGACTAATTTCACTAGAGGCTGTAATCACTTTTATAAGGTCCTTCAAACCAGAAGGTATATCCTCCAGATTACTCTTCTATATAAGTGATGTATACAGAAACCAGTTACCAGTTTTAAAACGCTTATAAATACTTCTATCTTACTAGACTTTAATGTCCACAAGTACACGCATAGAAAAATACCACTATAAAACTGCTTTCTTCAATAATTTACTTGTTCAAGGGTAAATATGAAAAACTGTACTTATAACAGCTCATAAGTAACCATCCTAGCTGTGATAGTGAAACAGAGTAGGTTTCAGTTTGACTGAAGCTGGCTATTAACCCTCGAATTACATTCCTTGCTGACTTAACTGATATGAAAAGCTCTGGTCAAAAATATCCATGATTGAAAAAGCATAAATTCCTCTTAACACTTGATGTTCATTCATTTGATATCTTAATTCTGCTATCTATGATAAATATCTTCTTAGTGTTGGTCTAAATGACAACCGAATCTTGTAACTATAACGAGTATTATGAACGAAAAGTGAATATATTTGTCACTTAGATAGATATTGCAATATCTAGACATAGAAATATACGATTACATTTGAACTGGTAGCAGCTAATTTCATCATATCTGACTTTCATGTTGACTATAAAGTGAATACTTTTCGATTATTTTGTATACTCGGAACTGGATGCTTTACTCTTGAAGCCGTCATTATCATCCTAGAAAATATCATCAGTAACACAAACTTCAAAAGAAGTGGAATTTTCTCCACTAGTGGCTTAATAATTTGTCCTAGTGATCTCAGGCGTGACTGGTTATTTCTACTATAATCTTCTTATTATTTCTATCAACATTTTGACTAGTTGTACTGCTGACGTGAACTTCGACCTTCTTATTGTTCCTTGAGTTTTTTTTATTGGTTGATTGACTACCCTAATATCGATATATCTGCCTGTATAAGTGCACTAAGCTTCGTCTATTCAGGATTTTCATATATTCCCAGTGGTATTCATGACCATGATTATCTGTATACACTAATATGAGCAAAGATATGTGGTCAGGCCTTATAGTTAGTTGATGTTCATGTAAACGGATGCTAAGCAATTGACCACTTCTTTGGACATGTTGTTTCTCACAGTTTCTGCATTTGATTTCATAGATAACGTTTGATTTGTCTTCCTTAGGTGTTGCATCTTTTGACCTGCATAATGTTTTTATACCCAACCAATGCCACCATCAACAACAACAAACACCAATTGCCACCAAGGAGAGAAATCTAAAGGAAGTAGCCTCTTTCACCTACCAACTAGGCAGCATCGTTTCAACTACAGGTGGCGGCACAGACAAGGACGTCAAAGCCAGCCAGGATCGGAAAAGCAAGACAGGCGTTCACTAACCTGAAACCAGTGTGGAGATCTACTGCACCTAGCATAAAGCATGAACACCATCCGGATTTTCAACACTAATGTCAGTCAAGTTAGTGCTTCTATACGGTTCAGAAACTTGGCCCGTTACGAAAGGCATTCCCAACAAACTACAGACATTCATCAACAAGTGCGTACGCTCACTGGATACAGAAGATGGAGATCAGATGGCCAGAATAATAAGAATAACCAACAAGGAACTCTGTCTGGCTGACTGGCAAGGAACCAACGAAGCAAGAAGCTATCGCTCAACAAATATGCAGAAGGAAGTGGAGATGGATTGGGCATTCACTGAGAAGACCGATTGGGGACATCATGCTCCAGGCCAGGTAATCGAGTGGGACCCAGATGGGAAACGGCGAGATGGGCGACCGAGGCGAATGTGACATGGAGGAGATCATGTGAGGAAAAAATGAAAGTTTGTGGGCGGTAGTGGAGCCAGGTTCAAATTATTGCAGAGAAGAGAGTGTGATGGAGGTGTGCTTCTGAATCCCTATGTTCTACTAGGAACCCAAGGGACAAATAATAACAATAAATAATGTTTGTATAAAACCAATACCCTCCCTCCCCTTATTACTTTAAAGACTGTCAAGATCATGAATATCTTTGAAACTCAATTTACTTCAACCTACACTTTTGATGGTACAAGAAATTTGTTTACCTTCTATGTGAGTATGTCAAGAGGTTCGTTATAGAATGGAGACACACACTGGAGTCTAGTACTAACCCGTAAGAAGATAAGATGTGTAGACGGTGAAAACTTGGTACGTATGCTAATCTTAAGGTATCTCACAACCTAGAATTCATCTATCCCGTCATATAGTATTGCTATATAAAGGAAAGACAATGTTGATGATATGTATTATGAGAATTCCTCTTCCATCACCCTGCAAGTGAACTCAACCACTAAGTACAAAAGAGATGAAATGGCATATGTAATTATTTACTTGATACTGTATGAGTAAAGTTATATCAAGAATAATAACCATTCGGCTGTTTATGCCTAAAACTGAGAGAAGTAAAAGACGGTGGAAAAATTCAAATGATAAGAAATCGTAAGCATAGTAATTATTATGCTAGAGTAAAAAACACCATAGTTTCCACCTTTACTTTTCATCAGTTATGATAAACTATTTAATTTGGAGGCTTGTGGGGATTTATTTATTTCAGCGTAGTACGCATCATGGACAGATATGAGTTGGAGAAGCATTGAAAACCTATTAGTACTGAATAGATGTCTCTTCCTAGTATGCAACTCCTCAGCATTGTTTAAACACGATTATTGGATCCCGTCTCAGTGGCTCAATGGTAGCACTATCATGGTAGAATTCAAGTGCCCTGGGTTCGACCTCCGGTAGGGTCACGAGTACGTCCTACTAAGGAGTCCTATACTTCTCAAAAACAGTTGTTGTTGTTGTAGGACCCCCAAGTTTTACAATTATTCTCTAATTGATGTCACTTTAAGATGAATACTACCTTGAGATAAAATGTTGATAAGGTATAATTCAATTTTTACTCATAATTCATAACAAACATACCTTAATTTTCCTCTCCTGTTTTTTGTAAGAACTTTAGTCTAGAAGTTGTAAAGCAAGAGGATATTGGAACTTTCTATACTGGTGATTCATATATTGTTTTAAATATTGAAAAAGTGGGTAAACAATACAACTACGATATCCATTTTTGGATAGGAAAGAAAAGTACACAAGTGAGTTATGAGTTAACACATTACATAACAAACATTGTTTTTAAAAAAGGAATCTTAAAGAAAATTGTTAGCCACTTCAATGACTCATATGAAAATAGTTTAACCTAGATCTTAAGCGAAACTATTTGAACTTTCACGATGCTAGAGATATACAACATATTTCATAACGAATTACATCACATTATAGACCATTCTTAGTGTCACACATTCGCCTTCTTCGATTAAAGGTACAATGACCTAGTGGATTGAAATGGTTTGCAAACAGCAATACCAAATAAGTAGAATGACTTGAATTTTACATAAAGCAGAACATTTCTACCTGATACCTTATGCTTAACTGATTCATATATACGTCAGAAGATTTAAGCTGGTTTTTGGCTGCTAGTCCAGTGGGGGGCTACTGATAAGGATGGATATAAGTAATATATGTCGAGAGGGCGGTAGAAATCATAGGTAATTACAAGCAATGGGTAAATATACTGCACAGAGGAATGCAAAACACAATGTGTGCGTATTAAAAGAAAGTCGATATAGAAGCAAAATAGAAAGTGGAATACATCGTGCAAACTACTACTTCAATAGAAACTGTACAATATTTCACCACTACTGTACAAAATGTCAAAGTAAACATTCCTTCCCGCATCTCACTATTTATCGTTTCTTACATTTGTTGTCTCTGCCTCTGAACTTAATGAAGATTCCCTCTCCTACAATGTTCGAGAATGGAGACACCAAGGTCTTCTTCAGGGACTTCTAGTCGGTCGCGGAGTTGGTGAGTGTCCGCGTTCCAGGAGCAAAGGTCGTGGTACTTAGCTGGGGTAGGGGAAAGAGGCATATGATGGCGTGGGACGCGTGGATGGGAAGGGGATTCGGAAGAGAACAGTTGAAAGACTGGAGGCGGAGTTTGACAGTCCAGTGGACAGGGAGCTGGCGATGCAGTAGTTCTGGAACACGAAACTTAGGACTGACGAACATACGGTGGCATTGGTTGTGAAGTTGAAAAATGTGCTTCAGCGAGCCCTTCCAACCTTGGATGAGGACTACCGGGAACAGTTTCTGGCTGCAAACCTCATCGGACGTGTTCCGAATGACATCATCCAGCAGCTACGACTAGTGAACGCAGACTAATCAACAGATATTAGTGAGCTGGCGAAATTGACCACAGAGTTGATGGGTACAGCAGTAGCTGCGGTAGAGTCCACAGAGGTAAATAACTGGTAATTCCCATTGATTTCTACCGACATTTCAATATATACCACTTATATCCATTCTTATCAGTAGTATCCGCTACACTACTACAGTTTTGTTCAGCAGGTATATTCTATTCCACGTTCAAATGTATAAAATTGAATTTTGAAAAAGATTAAGGAATTTATTTTCATTCTATACACTGATGAAACATGAAACTGTCCAATAAGGTTGTACTGAAAACACAGTAACATAAATCGAAAAATAAAATTTTTTTTGAGTGACCAACAACCTCTGATCAGAAGGCTTGAAATCAAAGTTTGATTAGCTAAACAAATTAGCATGAATTCACTGAATTCAAATATCATCCATGGATCTTAATGATGAATAGTGGCTAGCAGTAGGATTAAATATAGATGCTTCGTCCTGTTTGGGACTAGTCAGCTGGATATGCCTGCGCTTCAATGAGTGACGTTGTTCCCAGTGAGACTCAAATGTAGGACTAAACACTTCAAACCACAGAGCATTACACACATGTCACAAAGGCTGCTGCTTGTATGACGAGCATTGTATAGTCTTAGTGCAAACAACTGCTTTCACTGAAGTGCTGGTACATCTAGCTGACAAGTCCTAGATAGGACGAAACGCACGTTGCGAATTCCACTCCGGCATCGAGGCATTCACATGGAAACCTATCTGCCAACAGAGGTCAAGAAGTTGTTGGCAAAGTCTCTGACATAATCGTTCGGTAATGTTAACTTAGACTTGGTTAGACACGCATTTACTCAGGGCTGCAGACTCGCCCTGAGAAACACAAAGTCTAGATCCACAGCTCCATGATGAGCCACTCCGAGCATAGAACACCAAGTCTTTTTAAATCTACAGATAAAAAGGAACAGTATCACTAGGGAGTTATTAATGATCTTTTCCACAAGCGTACTAGCACGAGGACTTTATCATCAACTAACTTGCAATGGTTTTGGGACTCTTCAGTGACTTTTAGAAAGCACTGAAAGATGGTTTAATCGTTTTACAAAGAAAGGAAAGACCCAGTACTTTCAATTATCTGGACACTACTTCCCCAATGGATCAGTTGACCGATATATGGTTGACGTGAGCGTGAAACTTGAGCTCTGGTTTAGAATGTAATTCAACATTAGATGTGTTTATTTGATTTAGTGTATATTAGATCACATAACTCTGAAGTAATTAAGAACAACACTTTGATAAGCATTTCAGGGTAAAGTTCGGCATGGGCTGACATCAGTTGAGGAACCACTGAAAATCTGGGATCACAGGACATTTGTGCGTCTTAACATGAGACTCTGCAGCAATGTGCAACCATGATGCCACTAGGGGTTGAACAAAAAACCTCCAGGCCAACACGCTGCCACCCAGCTACTGGGTTGGAATCCTTTTGCGATATTACAATACTTCCATCTAATGCCATCACTGAGTATTAATCCTATTAAACGTCATGCTAAATTTCAATACTGTTTCACTACCCTTTGCTTCCTTTTCATGATTTTCTACCACTTCTGGCTGTTTTCTTCGTTGCTTTCTTTATCTTGCATTGTGATACATTCCTACTTAATCTGCTGATATGAGTTTTGACTGCTTGGGACGTTAAACAGTAATGCTTTGTCTTACGTTGATACCATCTATCTTTCTATCTTTGATCGATTAAATACGTACACACTGAAACTAAAAAACAGAGCTATCTTGTGTGAGTTGGTCACTTTTAATTTGTGATAGAATCAAGTATGAGAAAATTCCTATCTTTATATGTCTATTCCTTGAATTCCCTTACGAACGAGAGAGTCAATTTCTGATATTCATCTTAATTAAACTGGCGACATCAGATAATCTATTTAGTATATCAGTTAGGCAGCCAATCTAGTGAAATTCCTAAGTAATGATAAGCTTTTTTCTCTTCACCATAATACACAGTAAACACGTTCCAAAAACGTAACTTGGTAGCCATGATGTAAACATTCACTTGACTCCAGTCATAACATCGTCTTCCGTTTGACATTAACTGTTGATTTAAATTTGTGATTCATCAAAAAACAGTATGTAGTAGACCAGTACAGTTTTAAAATCAAGTAAACACTTTATGACCATATTTTCAGTCCTTTCTGAAGATGCAGTCCAATGGATTTATTGATGAAAAGTGGGTATCTTTACCAGTTCAATGCAACCTGTGAGTACTTTCTGACTATGAATCACTCAACGTAACCAAATTCTCTGTTGAAAGTGCCCATTTCAGAGCGACATCTCCAGGATAAATGTCAACAGCTAAATATCTAGCTTGTTAGATGCTTCATGACGACAGCAGTATTTGTGACGCACCTATCCGCTTGAAGAACGTGGATCATGCCTAATTATATGACAGTGAATCTTCTCCTGATTTCCGCTCCTAAGTAGTTGCCTCAATTGCCAACTAACTCCTACTAACTGGTATCGATGAAATTCGTTCAAGAGTGGGTAGTGGCGAAGGTAATGACAACTCATCATCTAAACGTTTTTGTGCGCAAAACGTGGCTGTTATAAACTGGACCATGTGTCTAAATAGGCCCTTTGAATTTAGTACCATGCCATAAAGATAACCAAAAACTATTTGTCTAAATTTCGAACAAAATGGTCGATACCGCGTCTCTGTGTTATTGGCCTAAGGATATTAAATAACTTGTAGGCAGTCTCGTTGTTGAAAATGACATGAACTCGGAAGTCATACCGTATGTAGAGGTTATCCCACGCTGTCCTTTGTGGTTGAGTAATCCGGGATTTCCTTGTCATTTTCCATCAATGTTGATTGTCAGGAGTTATAGAAGATGTCTTTTAATTGAATGTGTAACTATCAAAGATTTGGTAACCCTAGAGAGCATTTACACAATGACATGTGACTGCCCATCAAGGTTTGAAATAGACAAGCAAACTAATCTAGCGGATCAAAGTTGAGAATTTCCTAGCCTACCGGTATACTAGGATGTCTTAGTGTTGCATGAATCTTAACTAAGGTGTTCCCCTTGTTACTCGGGTACCTAAAGCTGCATTTTTCCTGACAGAGAGGGAAAGTAAGCAACCTAACCGATTGTTGAGTTGTTAAATTTGGTAAAATTGGTGCACCATGCTAACCCAGAAGTGGGTCTAGTAAATTTTCATGGTAAAGAGTAGCAGTTAAGTAGGTTCGGTTAGCTTACAGTTGATTTAAGCTGTTTCTGTGTACCTTTCCCCTGACTTTTCTGATCTTTATCCAGATGAAGATAACTAGGCCTGAAGAATCCGTACAATCTTCAGTAATTTCAATGGATTCAGTGGAGGGGAAGGAAGAAGTTGGTGACATTTTAGACCCTCCTAAGAGGCCAGGCAAAACAACCTATCAAGGAGTGATACTTAGAAGATTATATGGGTTCATCTGGTGAAAGTGTTTGGTGGTCAACGCGACAGGATACTGGCTATTCAGAAGTACAGAAGTGTAAGATTAGGCTTAGTAACTTGTGCTACTTAAAGGCTAGATGAGGAATTTCATAAAGCTTGGAGTGCTAGCATAAGAGTGTTCATAGTGATCGAATATCCATGTTAGGCGCAGCACTATTGTGAATGAACTGTCGGAAGGTAGGCTTGTTCATCGAAAGACCTTGAGCTATTTATAACGACTGCAGTTGTGTATTGTTCATTTTGTATCATTAGTGTATCTCAATCAACTTTATGCCACTAGTAAAGCAATAATGGTTATAATTTATGTAATCCTTAAAGACTTTTACTATCGACTGTTATCACTTTCGACGCTGATACATATATACTACTTATATGCATTCTTATAAGTAGCTCTAAACAAAAACAAGTTAATTTTGGTAAAATCTTTGTAATACAGAAGAACTCTTGAAGTTGTCAACATATTTTATTGCTTATGTAATAAATGAAACATTGGCTAAGTTGACATATATTACCTAATTGAAAATTCTCAATATTTTGTTATTATATACTGTTACTTCACTTTCTCTATTACCAATTAAGGATGAATATGGAACTGCTGCTTATAAGACTGTGGAGTTGGATACATTTTTAGACGATAAAGCAATTCAACACCGTGAAGTTGATGGATTAGAGTCAGAACAATTTAAAAAATACTTCAAAAATTTTAGGTAACTTTCCAAAATAATTTATTTTAAAGTTTTGTCATTGTAATTCCCCTAAAAAAAAAGTCTATATTCTTGTTCATATCAGCTATGGAAGGATCAGCATATTAAAGATAAACGCATTATTTCAAATCAACATTTAATACTTTCTTTATGTCTAGAACACAACAAAATCAGAGAACTTAAGTGGCTGCTATATGTAGGTCAGTACTTGGTTGCAGACAAAATGATACATGAACTCCAGAAGTCGACAACACAATTATTAAGGTTTAATAATAAGGTGATACTGTATATGCAGATCTTTACTACAATTATAATAATCAATACACCCAACTGTGGCACTTGTTTGGGGGAAAATCACCCGGGGAAAAGTCTGCAAGTAATGTAAGACCAAAACTCGCAGTTAACTCCTCCAACAAGCAGACTTACCACATAACTAGGAATATTTCGTACATAAAATTGATTAGACAGACAGGATAAACATTGCCATCACAAAAGAATAGGCAAGCATAAAGGGATGAGCCTTAAAACAAATACAGAGGAAGTGATAGCTAAGCAGAAAAGGTGGATGAGAAGTAGGGTGCAAAGATGGACACAAATGTAAACAGGAATAGCATATTGAAATTGAGTTGTGATTCTACAGTTAGTTCACTTTTCAGTACCCAACAGTCTATTGAACTAGCTATAAGAGTGATTTTAGGAATCTCAGAGTTAAAAGACTTAAGGTAATGGCGATACAATGACTGGTCACTGGAGAGTAACCTGCTGCTTGTCTCCATCCAACTAACACGTATCTCAGTGCATCAAGATGTTAAGTCTCCGAGTTTGGTGACCATACACTTCATAATGTTTGATAGAATTCTATCAGGACTTTGGCGTAGACAACGTGAAGTTGGTTGCCCTTCAGTGCACCATCTACTTAGTTTCCTATCTCTTCGACAGGCGCTTATTGCATACGAAGGTTGGGTTATCCTGCCTTAAATCTGGCTGTGGCTTACATGATGAAAACACATCTGAGATGAAAAACTGATTGCCTTTAATTAAGAACGGATTTACTCTCTCTAACTGATCAATTTATGAAACACAGTTGAGGCAGTATCCATCACTGTCTGATACCAGTCGAAGAGTCAATAGAAAGCAAGGAGCATTGGACGGCTGCCTTGCCCCAGTATGGTGGGACTCCCCAGGAGTCCTCACCCACCACCCCACCAGTGATCGAACTCAGGACCGTTACGTTTCACAGAGACTGCGTTAATCATTCACCCACTGGGTTTAGGAGTTCAATAGTCTACAGTTTCCTACCTCTGCAAGTTTGTGATAAGGAGTGACTATCTATCAAGGTCTTCAGTATGTGGTATCTGCTTCACTTATGACTGGTTTGTTCCAATAAGTCATGGCTTCTAATTAGAACTTCAAGATATTCATTCTGAAACATGTCACCAATGAATTCTGAGTTAAGTGGGAATTTTTATTCTTCACAGACTGAAACATGTAACATTCTCATCCTTCAACCAGATAATCTTTTTGAAAAGCCCTCATGATTGGTGTTCAAATCAAACACTCGCTATCAGTATTCCTTCTGTACTCCAATACTTTAATAATAACTTTGTTCCAAACAAGTTCTAGTACAATTTTCCCTCACATTGTACGCCTGCTGGACAATGTACAGTTGAATTCTTGTACTTATCTGTACGAGCGTACAGTCTTGAGTAGTTTCTTCTTGTCCTCTCTAAGAAGATGAGAAGAGAGAGCTATGAATGAACTGGATGCTGATTGTCAGTTAAAATTACTGTGGCTTATTTCTTACTAGAATTTAAATGTTTATCAACTACAATATTAAACAGTTGAGTCAAAGGTACAGCACTCACCCTAGTGACAGCTTTCAAAGCCTTATACAATATAACATAGTCCTCTTTTAGTAGACAAGGGAAGATCAACCAGGAACAATAGAGAAGTGTAGGTAAAAAGCAGTAATAAATAAATTGTAAAAGTAGAGGTTGAAAACCTCAGTTTCTTTATATAGTGCGTTAATGGATGGATTTCTTTAGAAGTCAAGAAGATATGAAACGACCAACAAAGATCAGAAGTAAATCTTATTCGAAGATATTTAACACTTGATTTACTTTCTGAGCAAATACTATCAGTGCAATAGGTGTCACGGAATTCCATTTTAGTCTGTTTATTAGAAATATCACACAGTAAAACAGAAGCATTTACTTAACAACGTTTCGGACACAATTTATTGTCCATATTTATATCAGGTAACTCTACAACTTCGAGACAGTCTTTATATATTCCTAGTTTTCTCTCCTTCTCTGTGATGACAAGGGTAGTAGAATTTTCCATATATCTGGGACAGGTGCAGCATCATTTCGATTGCATGTGTTTGGTGTTTATTCGATAAACAAAGATTCGGTTATCAATCTCTCCCTCCACCCAACTAAGTTAGTTTTCAAAACTGTCACCCTATCCCACCCAACTGTGTGATTGTGTGTCATCGCATGCACAGCTATAGCCGAGTTTTTCGCCAAATTTCTTATCTTATTAGGATCTACTAATCTTGATTTAGCTAAGTTATTGTGCTTTGTTATTCTAATCGACCCGGGTTGATTACTTTGACCTATGTACTTGACCTCGCAATCATTGCAAGGGATCTGGTAAACCAGATTATTTTGCTTAGTTGCATCGATAGGATCTTTTAACCTAGGAAGCTTGTTTCTAAGTGAGTTTGTTGGTTTGAATGCCACTTTAATCCCAGCTTTATTGAGAATTTTTCGCAGTGCTTCTGAAGTGCCTTCCTTGTATGGTAATATAGCAGAGGCTTTGAATTCTCTCTCCTAACCTTGTCACCATTATTACCACTAGTAGTGGGATTATTATTAATAACATCTGTATTACTACTACTACCACTGCTAATATTTTTCTTTCGATTTATTATGAATTTATGCATAAATTTTGGTGGGCAATTATTGAGACATAGGGTATTCTTGATGTGTCTAATTTCTTGTAGCAGATTTTCCGATCTACTAGTAAGCTTTTTCGCTGTATCACTTAAGCATTTAATTAGGCCTACTTTAACTAAAATGAGGTGGGATGATTCGAAGTCTAAGTAGCGATTCGAATGAATAGGTTTCCTATAGACACTAGTCTCTAGATTTCCTTTTTGTGTTCGTTTAATCTTGCAATCCAACATTGCTAGCTCACCTTCTTCACTTTCTAAGTCATAGATAAATTGGATTGCATTCACTACTGAATTCATATGTACTAAGAACCTATTGATGTGTTCCGATTTCAGTACTGTAAACGTATCATCTACATATCGGAGCCATATGAATATGGACAATAAATTGAGTCCGAAACGTTATCCAATAAATGCTGCTGTTTCACTGCATGATACTTCTAATAAACAGACTAAAAGGGAATTACAACCGACCATAATGCCCAAGTTTTACGCTTACATTAATAGGTGTAGTGGAACTTAAGCAGCTCACATAAGAAGAGTTTAACTTGAGACCATTTGAGAGAGACCACTCGTTAATTACACACAAGAAACAATTTAATTCAGAACAATCTAAGTGAGAGTTGACTGGAATAGAAACTCTTAGGTCGTCAGAAATTCGTTTGAACAGAATAAGGTAAATCATGCAAAAAAAACGAAAACAGAAACGGAGGAAGTACACCACCTTGAGGCACACCAGCTTCAGTAAGCAATGAGGTGAAACATCCCCCTTTTTACAGACAGTATACTGTTTCCTTTCAGATAAAAATGAGAATATAATTGCCGACTCGTTTATCAGTCAATATACTTTTCTTCAATATATCTAAACCGATTTCAACTAAACAAATGAACTGCTGAAAACAAAGTCACCATCAATCAGACAGACTGGAAATTTGCAATAGATCATTGAGTAATCGTTTTCCCACCAGTCAGTCAGATAAGTCAAAATCTATTCATATTGGTTACATATTACTTGTACATTGACATTAAGTGATGATTAAAGGGGAAAGGAATACTAATTTATCACGGCTTTCAAGTTACCGGCCATATTCTGTGCCAAGCGAAGTGCGATACCCACCTACTGATTTTAACTTCACTACACTTACCGAGGTTTTCATCCAGCTTTCGTGTGAATATCTGACAGTTAACTAACTGGTAGACCGGATACCTCTGGTTTGCATTTTACCGCCAGTTCAGTTCACATTGTAAACACAATCATTAGTCAAGGTGGATAACAGTTTTGTTTAAGCGCGGAATTCTATTTTTAAACAGTTATACTGATTTTACTATTAATTGATATACTTGTAATTCTGTTTTGTTTCACTGGTTCTAATCGTTCAGCCTCTATTGGTATATGGGCTACTATGCGGATGTGGATGAAATACGCATTCTGTATTCCTCTGTTAGCCACAATCAACTAAGTTATCAGCAATATTGATTTTGATAATAATAATAACAGTAATAATAATGGATGGTGGCTAGTAGTGGGATCCATGCAGCTCTCTTTTGTCCTATTCGACACTCGTCAACTGGATATACTTGCCTAACAGTGAGTGACATTGTTCCCACTAGGACTGGGATAAAGGATCAGCTGCTCCAAACTTCAAAACGTCATCAACTAGGCCAATGAGTTACCATAGCCACTTCTTACATGATGAATATAGCATAATCTTAATGGGAATAACAAAAATCAATTGGCTGAAACAGACAACAGAGATTTGCAAGTAATAATAGTAATATTGATTGTTCAGAAGGTAATTTTATGGTCAAGATCTTTGTGAGTTAAACTAAACTCTAGTTGGAACTTACTGTTAATGTGAAAGGTTTCAGATTCTGTCATCTAGATTCAATTCTTAGATAAATTCATTCAAATAATCTATATTCATATATTATCATCACTGAATGAAATTTACTTGTCAAAAAATAAATCTGAAGTAATCAAACTGTTTTAATCAAGATGATTTGTAGTGTTATTGCTTGTATTACACCGTTGTTGATAGGACCAAAT